TACCTATGTCCGTGACACCACCCACGCCCTCCACCTCCTCCAGAACTTCCAATTCCCCGGTCCCCAACACCTCATCTTTACCATGGACGTCCAGTCCCTCTACACCTGCATTCCCCATGCAGATGGCCTTAAGGCCCGACCAGTCCCCCTCCACTGATACCCTCATCCGCTTAGCCGAACTCGTCCTCACACTCAACAACTTCTCTTTCAATTCCTCCCACTTCCTACAGACAAAGGGGGTAGCCATGGGTACCCGCATGGGCCCAAGCTACGCCTGCCTCTTTGTAGGTTACGTGGAACAATCCCTCTTCCGTACCTACACCGGCCCTAAACCCCACCTCTTCCTCCGTTACATTGATGACTGTATCGGCGCCGCCTCGTGCTCCCACGAGGAGCTCGAACAGTTCATACACTTCACTAACACCTTCCACCCCAACCTTAAGTTTACCTGGACCATCTCTAACACCTCTCTCCCCTTCCTGGACCTCTCTGTCTCCATATCGGGCAACCACCTAGAAACCGATATTCATTTCAAGCCCACCGACTCCCACAGCTACCTAGAATACTCCTTCTCCCACCCACCTTCCTGCAAAAATGCTATCCCCTATTCCCAATTCCTTCGCCTCCGCCGCATCTGCTCCCAGGATGAGGCATTCCACTCCCGTACATCTCAGTTGTCCTCGTTTTTCAAGGACCGTAACTTCCCCTCCTCGGTGGTCGAGAATGCCCTCAACCGTGTCTCCCACGTCTCCCGCACCTCATCCCTCACACCCCGTCCACGCAATAAGAACCAAAAAAGAATCCCCCTCGTCCTCATGTACCACCCCACCAACCTCCGGATCCAACGCATCATCCTCCGACACTTCCGCCATCTGCAATCCGACCCCACCACCAAAGACGTCTTTCCCTCCCCACCCTTATCTGCTTTCCGGAGGGACAACTCTCTCCGTGACTCCCTTGTCCGCTCCACACTCCCCTCCAGCTCCACCACACCCGGCACTTTTCCCTGCAACCGCAGGAAGTGCTACACCTGCCCCCATACCTCCTCCCTCACCCCCATCCCAGGCCCCAAGAAGACTTTCCACATCAAGCAGATGTTCACCTGCACATCTGCCAATGTGGTATACTGCATCCGCTGTACCCGGTGTGGCTTCCTCTACATCGGGGAAACCAAGCGGAGACTCGGGGACCGCTTTGCAGAACACCTACGCTCGGTTCGCAATAAACAACTGCACCTCCCAGTCGCGAACCATTTCAACTCCCCCTCCCATTCCTCAGACGACATGTCCATCCTGGGCCTCCTGCAGTGCCACAACGATGCCACCCGAAGGTTGCAGGAACAGCAACTCATATTCCGCTTGGGAACCCTGCAGCCCAATGGTATCAATGTGGATTTCACAAGTTTCAAAATCTCCCCTCCCCCCACCGCATCCCAAAACCAGTCCAGCTCGTCCCTGCCTCCCTAACCTGTTCTTCCTCCCACCTATCCCCTCCTCCCACCTCAAGCCGCACCTCCATCTCCTACCGACCAACCTCATCCCGCCCCCTTGACCTGTCCGTCCTCCCTGGACTGACCTATCCCCTTCCTAACTCCCTACCTACACTCACCTTTACTGGCTCCATCCCCGCCTCTTCGACCTGTTTGTTTCCTCTCCACCTATCCTCTCCTCTATCCCTCTTCTATCCGCCTCCCACTCTCTCCCTATTTATTTCAAAACCCCCTTCCCCTCCCCCTTTTCTGATGAAGGGTCTAGGCCCGAAACGTCAGCCTCTCTGCTCCTATGATGCTGCTTGGCCTGCTGTGTTTATCCAGCCCTGCACCTTGTTGTCTCGGATTCTCCAGCATCTGCAGTTCCTACTATCTCTGATCCAGTATTGCAGTATGGCCAAAGCCATTGATTGTCACTTGATTCCCAGGAAAATGGTAAATAGGACAGGTTTGCTGGGATAAGATAAGGAGACTCTGACAATGGGAAGGAGGAGAAGGGTTGATTTAAAGATAGAGGGAAGTCTTACTCCCAATCTCTCTGGTCCCACTGGTAAGTGCCTGTGTAAGACACAGTGCCTGACAGGGGGGATCATCTAATATGCCACAGGGTTACTTTTCGTTGTAGGGCCATGTGGTGTAGGTGTTTCCCACCTGATGCTGGTTCCTGAATGAAACCCTTAAGTGACCTTCCTGTGGCCACTTAATTGCCTTAACTGTCTCTGAAGTTACCCCTACAACCTACATCTAAACTCCATTTATCTGTGGTATTCCCATATAACAAGAACATATAGATTAAATTGGCTAAGATGTTGCCAGTAATCTGAGTGAGTTACATATATGTGTATCATATGAATGTAAGAAAAACCTAGGATTTAGCAATGGAAGTACTGAGAAAGATACAATCTTGACCTGTGCATGTAGGAGACAGGACATGATTGTGAAGCAATGAAAGTTATTTGGTGAAAGAGGAGAATACCCTTCAGAATATATGTGAAATACCATCAAAAATATCACCAAATACACAGGGTAACACCTGATTTCACTTTGACCCTAAATTTAATTGTTCCAAATTCCAAAGAAGATATTGCGCCAAGTACCAACTGTGATCCTGGAAATCATTAAAAGGGATTGACAGCTACTATGTCAACAAAAACTATAGGAAACTGAGTGTACTAGACTTTAGGTATGTTCAAATATTTTACCTGAGACTCTTGGGTAAGATATTTCTATGGATTGAGTTTGGATTGAGTTTTCTAATTACATCAAATCCAGATAAGTGATCTTTAAATATCTTGCTTCCAAAATAAATACATCTGCTTTGGCACTGCAGAGCATTAAATATGTAATGAGGATTGTGCTTTATTGTAGTAATAGACATGTGGCAGAATCTATTAAAGCACTTTGATTAAATGCAGTTTACACTGGAACCTGTAGCAAGAGTTGAATGATAAGCTTCCTATGTACCTGATATTTCTGTTATGTGACTGACATACAGGGGTCAGGTCTGAAAGTCAAATCAGTGGTGGAGAATTTACACTATAATCATTACAGAAGTGTACAGCAATTATTGATGTTTAATTTGCTTTTCTTCTATAATTGCAGCTTGTGAAGAAGATGCGGATTGTCCTCCTGGCTCATTTCTTAATCCGTTTCTTCAGGCAGTTTATCTTTTTGCACAATATATTATACTGGTTAATCTACTCATCGCTTTGTTCAAGTAAGAACCGGTTATAAAAGGAGGTTGAATTATCTTTCCTTTCAACTGCAAAGTTTATCAAGTTATAGACCTCTATCTTACATAGCTCTGAAATAGTTTAGAATCATTGAGAATAATTGTGGGTTTGTTCAGTAATATTCTGAATCACAACCTGTGACAGGGCGGCAATGGCACGGTGATGATGTCACTGGACGAGTAACCAGAGTTCTAGCCAATTGTTCTGGAAGTATGGGTTCAAATCCCATCACAGAGGATGTTGAAAACTGTATTCAGCAAAAATCTGGCCTTAGAAACTAGCCAAGTTTTGTATCACCTGCAAACTTGGAGATTGTCCCTCATACATCAATATTCTAGATAGTTATATCTTGAAAAGCAAAGGTCCCAAACCAACTCATTGGGAACCTCACTACAAATCTTCCTTAAGTCTGAAAAAATATCAATGAACTATTATTTTGTGTTTCCTATCCCTCGGCCAATTTGTATCCATGTTGCTTCTGTCCTATTTATTCCATGATCAATAACTTGTCTCACAAATTTGTTGTGCAACATTGTATCAAATGCCTTTTCGAGTCCTCATCAACTTTCTGTTACTTCGACAAAGTACGCCAGCAAGTTAAACATAATATTCACCTTAAAAAATCCATATTTGCTCTTCGTAATCAACACACATTTTCCATATAACTATTAATTCTATCAAAAATAATTGTTTCAAGAAGATCCTCATCACTGAGGTTTATAAGACGATCTATATTGTTGGGCTTATCCTTAGAATCTATTTTGAAAAAAAAAAGTGTACCATTTGGAATTTTACAGTCCTTTGGCATCTCCCCTGAGTTTAGGAAGATTAAAAGATTATTGCCAGTGCCTCTGTAGTTTTCAGACTCATTGTTCAATATTATTGGATGCATCTTAGCTGGTTCCAATGCCTTATAGAATTTATATACCAACAACCTTTCTGATGCCTCCTCCTCATCAATTTTAAAACCATTCAATGAATGAATTTCGTCTTCTGTCATAATGGCCTAGGAAAGATGTATTTCCTTAGTAATAACAGCAAAGTTTTCATTTAACATATTAGCCATGCCCCTGCCTTTAGGTGTAGATCCCCTTTTTTGATCCCTAATCAGCCCAACTCCTCTTTTGCAATTTTCTTTTATTGTTGTAAGTATGAATAAAAGACTCTGAGATTTCCCTTTGTTAGCTGCTATTCTTTATCATAAACTCTCTTTGCTACTCTTACTTGCTTTCACACATCCCTTCTAAACCTTCTGTATTCATCCACAGTTCTGATAGGAAGAAAAAAATCCTTACCAGAGTATGAAAAGGAGATGTGCTGCAGTTTTAAAAGAGAAAAAGCATCCACAGAATTACAATTTTAGAGTGAAGGGTTATTCTAACAAGAGAGGCTTTAATTTAGTTTTTTCAAGGTTTTATTATAACTTAATCTGTATCCGTGCTCAATATATACATCCATATTGGATGCAACATCATGATTTATTTTTCACTACTTCAACTGGTTATTTATTTCCTCTGTAGCAATGTGTACTATGAAATGAAATCCATATCTAACAAACTTTGGAAGTATAATCGCTACCGTTACATTATGACCTATCATGAAAAGCCATGGCTGCCACCTCCAATTATTATCTTCAGTCACGTAGCTCAGCTACTGAGTCGAATTTACCAACGTCGAGCCAAAAATGAGGTGGATCAAGAAGAAGAGGACGTCGGTTTAAGTAAATAATTAACTTTATGTTCCAGCACCAATATTACAATAACAAATCGTGTGTGTTTGTAGAAGCATTGTAGCCATGACCTCATTTTTCATTATGTCATGATAATTTTGTTCTAGCAAGTCAGCATTTCTGTTTCTACACAGAGTTTTATTAAGAGGGCTGTGACAATACATTTTATTCTGATGGATACATAATGCCAGTTATTTGTACTGGTGGATCAGATCAAATTAAGTTTTCTGTTCACACATTAGTAGCTGGGACCTTCACAGTGCACTGCAAGTAAAAGATTAGGAACAACTGTAGGGATCATTATGGAGGTCAAATCTGGCAATACACTGCTTTAAAGTGGGCACTGTGATTTGTAAATGAGCTTAACTCGGAAGAAGAATCAGTAATACAAATTAGCATGACACAGCACGTTAGAATCCTAGCAAGCTGGTATCTGCCTGCTTTCAAATGTGTAAAGCAGAATTGAGTGCATTGCATCAGTGGCTGCTAATGCCAAAGTGAAAATTATTCTGACAATCACTGCTCCATGGTCCCCACTCTTAAGTGTCTGATATTAATGTTTTTAAGTAAGGCCTGCCTTTGATTTGAGGGCCTAGACCATGAGCCTGAGTGTGGCCTGGACATCTAGATGGTTTCTACAATTGTCTATTGATTCAGACTTATGAACTGTCTGACAAGTGCACTTTTTCAAACCACACCCCATGCTTGGGACATGGGGACTCCTGAGATCTGTTCATCAGTGATAGCGCGTGATCCTCACCCATAAAGCTAGACTCTTCAATTCAAAGCCAGAACTCCAACCCTAACAAAAACGAAAACAGAAATTGCTGGAAAAACAGAGCAGAGAAATCAGAGTTAACATTTCGGGTCCAGTGACTCCTCTTCAGAGCTCTTAACCGTAACCCTTACCCAGTGTGTTCTAGTTTCAAACTCTAATCTACCAGATTCCAAATGCAGTTACTCCACAAGTACATTGGAGAAAGACAAAAAGTTTGCAATCAATTCAATTTGAAAATTGATTCCTAAACAATGTTCTAAATACTGTCAGTGGTATTAGTTTGCTGCCCTCTACTGGATATTGAAGGGAACTGTCAGTTGCGAAAACAAATTTATCCTGAAAAGCAAGTGGAGTCTTATTTGGATACTGGGATTGCTTGACTGTGCATGTAAAGCAACACTGGGTTTTTAATTCAAACAGACAGAAAACACATTACATTTGATGATGGATACCTGTCTATTGAAGTCAATTCAGACCATATTTTTGATCAATCATAAAAGTAAGAGACAGCATTTACTGTGTAGACTAATAGCTTATGTGGGTGGTGAGGTTAACATTAAAGTGACTGTCAGAAGCATTTTTGGAATGAGGTGAAAACTGGCAGTTTCAGCTCCTGTGATTTCAAAGAAAAAGAACATCATGTGGGGAATGTGATACCAGTTATTTGGCACATAGCAAAGTTTTGTCTACTCTTAAACAGAATATTTGAGGAAAAGCCACTTGTACATAGGGATGGGCAAGTGCCGGGCACATCACTGCAGCATGGCACGACACCTGGAAGCAGGGCACCTGGGTGCTCTCTAACACTAGTGTCATAAGGGGCCTGGCATTGGAAGAGCAGGAAAGAAAGGAAACAATGCATTTTTCTGATAAAAACATATTTGGTGCTGAATATTTAACCAATTTGGTAAAATCTGAAAATGTGCTTTTTGTCTTGTATAGAATTGTATCTAAGTAAGGAGGAATTGAAAAAGCTTCATGACTTTGAAGAGCTTTGTGTGGAGAAATACTTTCACGAGAAGAATGAAAATCTCCATTCAAGTGACAATGAAAGAATTAGAGTAACAACTGAAAGGTAAATTTGTAGCAGTTTCCTGATTTACAGTATTACTGATAACATTTATGCTTGCTATGAGTTCCAACACCACTGTCAGCAGGAAGCACTCCAAGGGCAGGGATAGTGTAGTTGACATCAGATTAATGCTTGCTCAATTCTGCGAAAAAAATTACCTTGACTTTAACCTTAGAATAGCACCGTCTAATGCACAATTGTGATCCTTCCATGCGTACACCAAGCATTCTTACAGTTCCATGACACCGAAATAGGAAAGTTTTGTGCTTTGAGCCTGTGGCTACTATGAACTTGACTGAGATTCTGTGAACTAATTTATAAATACCTTGATTGACATATTTGAGGAGACCACGGATCAATGCTGGGGTCACAACTGTTTTCAATATGTAATTAATGACTTGGAGGAAGGAAGTGAATGTACTGTAGCCAAATATGCAGATGACACAAAAACAGGTGGAAAGGCAGGTTGAGAGAGGGCTACAAACAGTTTGCAGAGATCTATTGATAGTGGGGACAACAGGTTGGCAAATGGAGTATGATTTGGGAAAACATGCAGTTTTTCATTTTGGAAGGGAGAACACAAGAGCAGAATATTATGTAAATAGAGAAAAATTGCAGAAAGCTGTAGCACAAAGGGACTTGGGTGGTACTTGTGCATGAAACACAGAAAGCTAGCACACAGATGCAGCAGAATGTTGGCCCTTATTTCAAAGGGGTTGGAGTATAACAGTAGGGGGATGTCTTATTGCAACTGTAGGAGGTGCTGGTGAGACCACAACTGGAGTATTGTGAGCAGTTTTGGTCCCCTTAAGGAAAGATATCATTTCATTGGAGGTGATTCAAAGAAGGTTCACAAGGAGGATCCCTGGTATGGAGGGATTATTTTATGAGCAAAGGCTACACAGGGTGGGACTCTACTCACTGGAGTTTAGAAGAATGAGAGGTGATCTCATTGAAACATACAGGATTCTTAAGGGGTTTGACAGAGGAAATGCTGAAAAGATGTTTCCACTCATGGGAGAGTCTAGGACATATTCTGAGACTATGCTCTAGACTAAAGGGGTGCCAAGTTAAGTCTGAGATGAGGAAGAATTTCTTCTTTCAGAAGGTTGAATGTCTTTGGATCGCCATGCCACAGAGAGCTATGGTGGCGGAGTCCTTGTATCTATTTAAGTCTGAGATAGATAGATTCTTGATCAGTAGGGGAATCAACGGTAATGAGGAAAACATCAGAAAGTGAATTTGAAGAATGTTGGATCAGCCATAATCCTGTTGAATGGCAGAGCAGGCTTGAGAGTCTGAATGGTCTGCTCCTATTCCTTTTTCTTATGGTTTTAACACCCACATCAATCAAGTCGGATCAGATTAAACCTATGGTTTCAAGGTGAAAGGGCGGTCTGCTAACATGTTATAATAACAGCACAATAACTTTGATTTCTGTAAAGCTTTTAACACTGTAAAATATCACAAGCTACACTAAGTTAGCTTATGGACAAGGCTTCCTGTACATTGAGACCAAGAACAAATTGAACTTTTTGGAGCATATTTAGTTGACAAAGTTTTTTTTTGGTATAAGCACTTTAAACAGTTAAAACACTTCATTTAAGTTTTGTTTGTTCCATGTTTTGCAAATGCTGTTAGTTATTTAAATACTGGCAGACTCTAGAAATTGACCCACTTCTGATAACTTGTATGTGTGTATCCCTCTACTCATAGTTAACTCTCCTTCATTTTACAGCACTGAAAAGCTGGGAGCATAGAATTTGTAGGAAATTAGGATGTTGTATTGGATAGAGAAATTATGATTTTAGCATGAATTATTGAATAATTTAGTTCTTGATATGGAACGCACCTAATGTGTGAGACATGCATTCAGGTTCAAATCTGCAAAGTTCTTCAGGGTGTAAGTCTCATTTATAGACTAGATTTCACTGGACTGTATATCTGCTCATGCGTCAGCAAATATGTATGGTCTGACTAGGTTTGCTATCTGCCAGGTCCCTGTGAATACTTAGTGAAGTCGTTTTCACAGCAGAGAATTAATACATAGGGAATGGCTAGACTCCACTTATATTCAGGATCTTGTCGGTGTTTGTTGAAGTTTTGGTGATCACAAGAGCATCACTGAGTCACTGTTAGATCAGCACCTTTATATACCTAATTTCCAACTGTACTGATGCTTCAAAGAACAGACATATTGGACTTCAATTTTTAACTCAGTTTCTCTTTCTGCAGATGCTGTCAGAGCTGCTGAGTTTCTCTAGTTTTGTCATTGTTTATTTTGATATACTTATGTTTGCATAATAGTTGAAATCTGCTAAAATGGTTGAGGATTTTTGTAACCTGCAATTTTATTGACCGCTGTCAATCAGCCATCAGCCTATGTAATGTAACAATAACATATGTTTTCATAAAAATAAGTGTGCCATTAAAGCAAAAACAAGATCTAAAGAGCTTTACAATAGCAAAGAGAAAAAGGAGGAGACGACTGCCTGGATATTAGAGAAATGATTGAAACAAAACAAAACAAATCAAGATACTATTTATTTGAATTGGTGCAGTAATCGGGTTATATCCACTTTTCATTTCTGCTTGGAGCGCAACTGGAAAGCTCCTGCCACTGGACCAATTATCATAATAAAGATCATTGGTGTATTCAAATCCAAACAACAATAACTTGCATTTATGTAGGGCCTTTAAAGTAGTGAAACATCTTAAGGCACTTCAACTCCAGATTCCTAACTGTTTGTTTCAGAAACTGTAGCAACCTCAAGGAACCAACATGACTAAAATGTGTCTTATTTTCTAGAGTTGAAGAAATGGCTATGCATTTGAAAGAAGTAAATGAAAAAGTCCATTATGTCAAGGAATCTTTGCACAGTTTAGACAGCCAACTTGGACATCTACAGGATCTCTCGGCCTTGACTGTGGATACTCTGAAAGTGATCTCTGCTGTGGATAGTTTAAAAGTGGATGATGCATTTTTAGGGAGTAACACAGAAAGCAGTGACTTCCGAAAACTGCCACATAGCTGGAGCAATGTGATCCACCTGAATCCTTTGGATAATTTTTCTGCTGAAGCAAAGCAAAATTATTTTAGCACTCCACCTTCACTACTTCGGAACTTAGCAAACAGCCAAAAGCCATCAATATGTTATAGTAATGCCAACATTGTAGTTGAATTACCCAAGTCAGAAAAGCAGGATGAGAACAAGCAGGTATCTTGTGCTGACCGTGCCTGTCCAAAGGAGAAAGAGTTGGAAGGTCATACTGTCATGTCAGAAATATCATCTGAGCCCACATCACCTCATAGATATACACATTTATTCCCAGTTCCTTCCACTTTCGAAAGCTTTAAGCACACAGATCTACGTTTTAATTTGTCACTTCCAAGCACTCCAACATTGACTGATTTAAATTCCAATGTTCAAAAGCGGGAGAAGAGTCCATGCAGAACACCAATACAATTCAGCTTTCAAAGCACACTCTCTGATCAGAATGAGGGTGAAAACCATGGGAAGCAATGGGACATTATTCGTACGAATCCTGAAAGAACTGATGGAAAGGTGGATACACTTTCATTGGACCTACTGGCTTCTCCGTTTGTTATTGATGGTCCCCTTTTATCAGATAGTCACAGTGAAAGAAGTGAGGTTGGCTATGTCAACTGGTCATTCAATGAAGATGACGAGCCTGGGATCTTCGGTGCAAGTTTGAAGAATCAAAGGAAAAAACATGTGCATTCTTTATTCAATACTAACTGTACCAATAGAGATGATGGGTCATGCCATATTCAGGTCAAAAAGTCTCATTCCTTCTCATTCAATTCAGATGGATCTGAGCTTAATAATGAGAACTTGGAGTCTTTCTCCAAACACAAATACAACAGTATTTCCTACTGGATCAATCCACTGAGAAGGAACAGCTGGTCTTCTCAAAGAAACAGCTTAAGGTTCAAGATTCAGAAGGAAGAACATTTGTGGCGCAGTACGAAAATAAAAGGTTTTTAAACTTATTTTATCCAAATGGTAATGGACAAACGTCATTGAAGTTAAGAATTGAAAGCCAAAATTAGAGTGCTTTCTTCATAAGTTGAATTCTATGTTTTTCAATGGTTAAAGCAAATAATGCTCTAGCAGAATACTTTAATGGGAAGTGAAGTGGCCTCTTGATTACAATTGGACTGTTTAATGCCCGAAAGTCTAATAATGACTAGACCTGTATTATTGCTACCTAAGCAGGCAGCCAGAGTTGGGGAAATCTCCTGTTGTCAGTTACCTCTTGGGAAGACATGGCCCACGTGGATCTTCATTCTAGGGCTTCAGGTGTGGAATAAAACCAGAGCTGCTAACCACAGAAGGAGATTGGGGTCTCAGCTATCACAGGGATAGCTGATTACTGGGGGTTGGGGGGGTGCTGCCTTTATAAGTACCAGTTGTTTGATTACGTTTTAGACTCACTAACCCTCACCCCTCACATCCCATCAACCTATTGCACTTCTCATGCCATCTTAAGTCATTTCATACCAACTCATTCTAACCCACCCACCATCCTTGGCCTTATGCCATTTGTTCTAAGTCACCCATGAGCTGACCTCAAGACTCATGTTGGGATGATAGATATCCCAGCTTTCATAGAGAGCATTTTGTAACCCTGTAAACAAACAGCGATTAAAACTATTACAACAGTTTTATTTTTAATCTTAAATGACACTACATCATTTTTTAAAATTTAAAAGGTGTGGGGTTTTAAAAAAAAGTCGGATGATGAAAGTTAAATGAATCCCATCTGCCCTTTTAGGATCTCACATTAACTCATAAGTTTGTTATTCTTACATTGCAGGATAAGATCCCTGAGTGTGTTTGATCTCAGCACTAAATTCTAATAACCCTGCTGGGTTCAGACTTCCCTCATGCATGAATCACTCCCTGACTCTCCCTCCTTTCCCTAGGTACAAAAATTGGCTCTGTTGGAAATTATGGCTGGACTTCTACAGGTCCATGGGTCTTGCCCACCATTGCTTTGTGCAGTCAGTCTCAGCCTAAGTTGGACTAAAGAAAATCTTGAAATGAGAAGCCAGTCAGCAAAAAGTGACAAAGCTATTATTAAAAATAAAGCTGATTCTCTGAAGTCCTTCAGGGAAGCCAAACCTCCAAAACTTGCCATCCTTACAAAGGGGTGGCACGGTGGCTCAGTGGTTAGCACTGCTGCCTCACAGTGCCAGGGATCCAGGTTTGATTCCTCAGGTGACTGTCAGTGTGGAATTCGCACATTCTCCCCGTGTTTGCATGGGTTTCCTCCAGTTGTTCCAGTTTCCTCCCACAGTCCAAAGATGCGCAGATTAAGTGGATTGGCCATGCTAAATTACCCATAGTGTCCAGGGAGGTGCAGGCTAACTGGACTATCCATGGGAAATGCAAGGTTATAGGGATAGGGTGGGTCTGGGTGGACTCAATGAGCTGAATGGCCTGTTTCCACCTCATAGGAGTTCTATAAAATCTATTCTATGAAATACGTTTGGACATTATATGTCTTCAGTCTTTTTCTGGTTGATTCTTCTCCACCCTTCTAAGTGATGTAACAAGCTACTCAATTGTTAGGAATGGGCAACAAAGGTCAGCCTTGACAATACCATTTGCATTAGGGTAAAGTACTGTGTCCAAAATGGTCTCAATACTGTATGTCCACAATTCTGGCACGAAGCCTCATTGGATCTCATTGTGGTAGAGTCCAAACAAGAAGCATCCTTTATTTATACTTGAAGCAGGCATTAGGCCAAAAATATATGCAGTTAAGGGTTTAATGCCTGCTTCAGCTCGCTATTGCATCTTTGATTTGTGAGGGGAACAGAAAGAAACAGTGCTGACTGTCTCCGGAAAACCAATATTAAACAGCAAAGAATTAAAAAAGGTAGGTACTTCCAATAATGACTGCTGGTCCCGATCCAAAGATATCTGAACTGACTCTTAACTCTACCTCCTAGTCCCTCAGATCACCTACAGCCATCACTCCATATTCCCCACCTACCATTGCAACAAAATGCCTTATCCTCCTTATGCTTTAGACAACCATGATCTTATGCCCTAATGCAAAAAGATCTCCTGTTGCAGTCCAGTGCTCAATTGTTCCTCCTCCAGGCCTCATAATTATCCAATCACTTATTTTATAATTGACACATGAACTTGCATGTACTCCTATGTTGGAATATCTCTATCATGAGATTTATGGTTGAAAAATACCTGGGTCTTTGAACCTCTGATGAATGCAAGCTGTTATTGCTCAATGAGGAATGTGTCCAAACATGGATGTTTCTGAATATCTAGCCCATTGATTTTTACTACCCAGTACATGATATTAAGATTTCAGAGGTATGTGAAGAAATTGAAATTTTGAACTGTTGATTATGAACCAGCAGTTAAAAGTTGTCATCCTTGAGTAAACTTTGCAATAAGTGTCCATCTTCATTTGATCAATAATGCAGTTGTTGGCAACAATAGAATAGATGTGCATCATCCATAGATGATGTGGATTCGGTCAATAGTTAACACTTCATATGATCGCAGCCAGCTGTCATGCTGTCCTCTGGTTGGAAAGTCCATATGATGCAGAGGACCTGCTGTGCAGAGTGCTGATAAAGATAAACCCCATATAGAGTAATTCAACAAAGTTTTGGATGTCAAATTGGTCATTGCTATTAGTTTCTTTAAATTGATCTTAAATTTTTCTCTTAATGTACTTCTGATTTTTGGTTTTGGTACTGAACCAAATCTTAGCTAGTTAGTGCTACATGCCACCAATGTACAGATATTTGCACTGGGACTCTAATAAACCAGAGTTGAAATGGCTTCCAGATGTATACCAGCATCCACAGCTTCTGGAGTATTAAATAAGACATGTAGAGTAATTGTAATTACACCTAGGGTATGCAAAAGAGAGTGACCCTTATACTGCCTCATGTATGTATAGACCAAAGCAGTCAGACTGAATGTATCTGAAGAAGGCTGCAATTGGAGACTACAGGCTGGATTTTACCCTTTGAGGCAGGAATTGGAAGTTAGGAGATAACAATTTGAGAGTAAAGTTGGAGCGTCCTCCTCAAGAAGCTGGCCCAATATAGGCTAATGGACACTAAGGCTGACTGATTGGAAGGCCTGGCTTAATTCACTGGAATATTCGACACAAGTATTAGGCAATTAGACCTTGCCCTTAACCTCTGAACCCCCTCACCTCCCACTCATTCATGTGCCCCTTCTATATACCAATGCCCATTCAGCCAGTATCCTCGAAAGGCAGAACCCAAGAGCCCTGTGGTAAATGGACGAACCTTTGACTCATCCGTGAGACTGTCAAAATAACCAGCGATTTTAAAAAAAAACTCTTCAATGGCTCGTAAAACTTTCGAAAGGAAGGTCACAGTCCACTCGAAAGCAAGATCACCATCCCTTATGCTTAATCCATTAATGGAATGGATTTCAGCTGAGAATTCATAATGAGATTCTCTTCCATAACTGTGACAAAATCCAAAAACCAATATATTAATACATTTGAAGTAATGGAGCAAATGGCTATCTGTTCACCAATCTTCTCCTTTACTAATACATACCTAATGATATGATTATGCCCTACAAACATTGATCCACTTGACCCAACTCACTCCCTTCTTCTACAAACAAAAAAATGATGATAGATCAATTGTAATTATTAATTACTGAATTTTTTTCAACAAAACATATTAAAGGGTGTGGCCAGGGTAGAAGATAGAGTTAGGTTATATATCAACTATGATCTAGTTGAATGATGGAACAATCACATGTTGCTAGTTGGTCTAATCCTGTTCCTATTTTTATGATAAATTGTGTGGTCCCATTGTAAAACTGACAAATAACCTTCGATGCTTAAATCAACTGAAACTTTTTAAAATCTTGTGGGGCATGCATATTTCCCTCAAGAAAATTTGAGCCTTAAACATGTTTTCATCCAGCCCTAATTTTAGCAGTTCTGATCTTTCTTTTATACCCTAGTTTGAATCTGATATTTTGTGATGAAGGTTAGTTAACTCAAGTTTTTTTTTTTCCTGGTCTTTAATTCTGGTGTTTCTACCCCTTTTTAGCCTTTAAAAAACTTTCACAGCCTTCGAACTCAATGAGGTCAAAATTAAAACAACAAAATTGTAGGAGAACATCCTCCAGACGGCAAAAAAAACCTCCAAAGCTGCAAGTACCGGTGCGTAAGAGATAAAAAGCATAAAGTTTAGTGAGAACAGAAATGTACAGCAGTATATTTTAAACAGGACAGTCTTTTTTAAAACATTGTCTATTGGTGTTCTTACTGATATATAATATATACAGGAGTTTTTCATCACTGCAGTGTGCTCTCACAGGATGATATAAATTTGATTGATTTACTTTCCAAATCCTGCCAATTTTTTTCTGTAATCACCTAAAGCAGGTGCATGAGAATGGTCTGTTCCACTCATTGAGCTACTGCAGAGCAAACATGTGGTCTCTGGTAGTACTAACCGTACAGTGGAATTAGTATTCACAGTTTCATTGAGAAAGGTCACTGTGCTAAATTCCTTCCCACTGTGGAAGTTGTTAATATTGCACCTTGGCAATGATGTTAAATTTCTACTCCAATGTGCTTTGGTCTGTGCAATAAAAATGAAAGGAAATCCGTGAAGATTTGCTACATTTCATGACAATCATGCTTTTTAAGTATTCAATTTATTTCACAAAACATTTAAAACAACTGCAGTTTGTGTTCAATTTCAGTTCGTAAACACCTGCACAAAAGATTACTCCTGCAGTACAAAGAAACAATGGAGCGAATCATCTCATTCACGTTGTGCCATTTTCATCATCTTTAATAAAATCAGACTCCAGACAGAAATCTGAGCCCCTTGTAATCTGTTTGGGTTAGTTGAGTTTTAGTTGTAGTTTTTGCAAAGTGTTTGGATTCTCAATGTCACAAGATCTTTGAAGCTGTGCAGTATGAACTCCTATGAGACTTGCCAGATTTCTACTCGTTCCACTTTTGGACAGTTAATTTAGCGCTTCAGTTGGATGGACCGAGCAAAGGTTGCATTATTTTGTGCTGAATTGAACATGCTGTTCAAGGTGGGATTGTTACCCACCGCCCCACAATACACAACACACATACACACACTTATGTATGCTTTCTATACTTCACCCAATAAAGTGCACAATCTGCTGTTTTGCAGATAATCACGGTAGACGGGTGTTCTCAGAAGGCTTTGGACTCATCTCAACAAAACAATGCTGGAAGTGAAAAGAACGTGGAAGAAAAGGAATGTAACAAAAATTGGCTAACTATCTCCACTTTCAACCAAATCAGTATGTTATTTTATACATTATTTCTATATTAAAGTGTAATATTAAGAAAAGATATCTTCTGCAATCTGGTTTATAACTGTGGTGCTTTTACATTATTTGTCTTATAATGAACACTATGAAGACCTGTTGCATGCTTCCTTCAAACTTTATGTTTTTGAGTAGCTGCAGCTCATATTTCAGTTACCAGTCATTGCTTATCCCCTACTTCGTTGGCACATTAACTATCCCTAATAGGCAAACATCTATCAGCAAAAACTGAGCAGGATAGGGCTGTTTTCTCTAGAAAAGAGAAGACAGAATTGACCTGATCAAAGTCTTTAAAGTCATGGAGCGAATGCCTTCTAAGGATAGGGAAAGATAAGACGTTTTCACTTCTCTGAGACCCTAATACCGAGAGTCATACATTTAAAAAAAAGTCATGTATAAATCAAATAAATAATTCAGAAGAAATCACTTTTTACTCAGAGTGGTGAGAATATGCAACTTGCTATCATGTGAAGTAATATAACAAATGTATTTAAGAGAAACTATGTTTGTGAGGTAGAAATGAGTGGAAGGATATGTTCATATGGTGAAATGAAGTGAGGTGGGAGGAGGCTCTTGTGGAACGTAATCATTGACATAGGCCTGTTTCTGTGCTGTAGAATTCTATGTAATCCTATCTATATATACATCACAATCCATTTATGAACTGAGAGATTATGTTTGGAAAATAGTCATCCATTGCATCAGCTGTCTAGGCTAACATTGTATGGTTTCATTCTGAGCATCAAAAGATTCTGTTAATTGCTACTGATCTGATATAGTAATCTGAACTGAGAATGACATTCTGGCTCCTTACAATTCAGGCCAGGTCCATGTGCTTTCCTGACTTCAATTCAGTGCAGCTTAGGCAGGTAGTCACATATACAGATTGACCAGGGAGAGGCAATAATTCAGATTTACATTTAAGCACATGAATTAGGGGCAACAATCCACACGTCCCCTTGCCTGCATGCCATTTAATAAGATCATAGCTGATCTTTTTATGTTTTGAATTCCAAATTCCCATTTCCATCTTTGACACTCTTCGCTAACAAAAGCCTATGACCTCTGAGGCAGTGAGTTCCAGAGCTGCATGGTCCTCTGAAAGGAAAAATAAACTCATAATTTCTGTCCTAAATGCAGGCAAGTGGGACTAGTTTAGTTTGGAACATGGTCAGTGTGGATTAGTTGGACCAAAGTATCTGTCTCTGTGCTGTATGACTATATCACTCCATGACTCTAAAGGGGCAACCCCTAATTTTTAAACTGTGCCCCCAGATCTGGGCTCACCCACATATTGTGTGTCTAGACCATTCAGGATCATACATATTTAATCAAGTGACCTCTTGCTCTTCTAAACTCCAGCGAAAACAAACCCAGTCTGCCAACTTTTTCTTATAAGACAACCCACTCATTTTGATATCCATTTAGTTAACGTCTTCTGATGTGCCTTCACCAAGTTTTTACATCCTTCTTTAAATGAGGAGATTAAAATTGCACATGTTGTTTGACATGTGGTCTCTGCAATGCCCTGTATAAGTGAAGCACAATACCTTTACTCTTATGGTCAATTCCTCTTACAAGGTAAGGGAGTCACATGTGTGACAAAAGCTCGCAATAAGAAATCCTGCAGTTCTGGGGATCCCATTTAATCTTTTGTCTCATCATTCCCAAGGGAGAAGATGATGAAATCCCCTCCCCTTCTGCACAATGTTTGTCTTCTCCCTAATGTTTCTATACTAGATAAACTGCAAAATGTTGCTGGCGTTGCCTGGTTCTGCCAAGGAGAATCCTGCTGAATAAATATAAGGATGGAAGTGATCTACTGGGAAGATGTTTCTCACCCTGGTTTCAGGTCCTTGTCTTTAGCAAGGATGTGGAACCACTCCATCTCACCTCTTGTGTGAAGTCCATCCCCTTCAGATGCTGTGCATGGCTCCTTGTTACAAAGGTATTGTGCTCCACATGGGATCCTTTGTGGTTAGGTCTTCACATGAAGAATTCTTCTTCTCCTTCCTCTTCAGAAAGCTTCCCCCTTGGTGCCCCTGCTGTGCATGTCATGCTCATGTGGCAATGCAAGTGCTGCTGTAGTTACTGCCTCCACACATATGCAATGCTATTTTCTATGGTCTAATGATCAATAAAAATGTCCAAATTCTCCCAGCACCACTCCACGGTGCTTCCACCAGTTTTGTCTCAGCAAGGGTAAGTCAAAGGCATCTCGGATGCAAATTGTAGAGTCATCCTTAGATGGTCCTAGAACAGGCCCACCAGGCTTTCTAATGCATATCTTTTTATTCCAGGGATGAAATTGGAAGATACTAATTGTATATTGTTGACTAATTTTGATATTCTAGTGTTGCATCAGCCTATTCACATCAATGATGTCATGATTATCATCATTGGCAGTCCCTTAACTTGAGGATGATGTCCACTCAGAGTGACCAAATTGTTAACGTGCTATCAGCCTCATGGATGCACTACAGTGACTCCAACCTGTCCTGATGTTTCAAAACCGAGAGCTCAACTATCTGCAGTTGGAGATTCTTTCTGCACATATGATCATCCAGGGCACATGAAGTGTCCTTGACTCCCTGCATGGCACAGGGTGGACCACGCACCAAGCACCATGCCCATGGTTCCATGCACCAAGCTGTCCTGGCATATTTTAAGGCTAGTTTTCAGACTATTTACTTTAAACTGGAGAGCAGAAAATAAAATAACTCACTAATCAGCTCCAATGAATCTTGCTCTTTGCAAATAGATAGTCTCACTACAGACTCACAAACCTATCACCTTAACATTTACTGAGACATCACTGATTCTTTTTCAAACTGGGTGCATGCTGATTCCCAGCTGCTGTCTTGAGACTGTCTGTCCTACGAACAGGCCTCGCTCCTACTTTCTATCCTCCTGTTCCATGCCATTTTCAGATTGGCCTGCTGCCTATCCAACCTTCAGGTAACATGGTACCATTGCACCATCAAAGATGATCCACCATAGATTCTACCACAGGGTACATCCAGAGATTATCAACTTCTGTTTGTGAATTCATGGTTATGAAGTAATTAGAAGTGTTCTTTTCAATAGTGGTGGATGGCATTATCATCCTTCCAGCCTCAGACTGGCTGTGAGAATTTGCACATTCTCCCTGTGTCTATGTGGATTTCGTCCGGGTGCTCCAGTTTTCTTGTACAGTCCAAAGATGTGCAAGTTAGGTGGATTGGCTTTGCTAAATTGCCCATAGTGTCCAGGGATGTGAAGGTTAGGTGGATTAGCCATGGTAAATGCAGGGTTACAGGGATGGGGTAATGGGGTGGGTCTGGATGGGATGCTCTTCTAAGAGTCTGTGTGGACTCAATGGGGTGAATAACCTACTTTTACACTGCAGGGATTCTATGATTCTTTGATTCTATTTTGATTCTAAGAACAGAGGCATCACCCTGTGATGAAAGGGAATTTTGTTTATCTGGTCTATAGATTGCTCTGTGACTTCAATAAGTCAAAAATGATGTTTAGCATACTGTTTGATTTCTCAGGCTTTCTCTCTCTGTGACTTATCCTTTAGTCCGGATTTATTTTAGGTGTCAGCCCTGAGCTATTGGATTGTTGCCTTCTTAGTGTGTGACCTCAGCCTGTTCTGCTAGATAATGAAGTTGCCTGAATGAAGCTAGTCCTGGTGACTTCAATGCCTGAACTGGATGGTTTGAAAATTGGAATCCAGGAGGACTAATTTTATTTGAGAGATAGTGGGAACTGCAGATGCTGGAGAATCTGAGATAACAAGGTGCAGAGGTGGATGAACACAGCAGGCCAAGCAGCATCAGAGGAGCAGGAAAGCTGACGTTTCGGGCCTAGACCCTTCTTATTAGAGGAGCAGGAAAGCTGACGTTTCGGGCCTAGACCCTTCTTATTAGAGGAGCAGGAAAGCTGATGTTTCGGGCCTAGACGGGTCTAGGCCCAAAACGTCAGCTTTCCTCCTCTAATTTTATTTGATCCCAGTTTTCTGAAATTGAATTGGGTAACTGAAGATTTTCCAGACAGGTTATGAGCTGCTTTTGGAATTGTTCTCTCTATGTGGGCTACTTTAGGGCTGAGACATTGATTCTTCCTCTTCTAGTTCTTGCGATTTCTTTGTACAGGGTGTTGCATTACACTGTTAGTATCTACAGAGTTAATTGACATCATATATAATGGAGAAAAAGGACTGTTTGTGGGAGGGGGTAACCAGTTCTGTTCTGAAGAAGGGTCACTGGACCCGAAATATTAACTCTGCTTTCTCTCCACAGATGCTGCCAAACCTGTGTATCCAAAATCCAATTTTGAATGAAAAAAATAACAACTCCTTGGATATGCTTGTTGCTGTCAGGTTTTCCTTTCCAATAGGAGGTGTAACCCTTTGCTTGTTCCTTCAGCCATCCCTCCCCATGATGGCAGGTCTCGCTAAGACCACTGATGTTAATCTGGAAACTTAGCAGTTGTTGTGATATGATTGCAGTTCTTCTTTTATGACAGTCACTGTAGAAATCATCCGGTCTTGTACCTTTATTCTTTCATGAGCTTTGGACACAGCTTCAAGTTCAGTATATTTTGCCCATCTCCATTTACCCTTGAACGGTGTGGCCTGATTGACCACCATGTGGAGATGGTGGTGTAGTGTTAATGTCACTGGTCTAGTAATTCAGAACCTCAGGCTAGTGTTCTGAGGGCATGAGTTTAAATCCCACAAAGGCAGACAGTGAAAATTCATTTCAATTGTAAAAAAAAAACTGGAATTAAGAACTAGTCCAACAATGACTATGTAACTGCTGTTGATAGTCGTAAAACAAAAAATCTGGCTCACTAATGCCCTTTAGTGAAGGAAATCTTAACCACCCTCTGGGCAATTAGGATTGGGCAATAAATGTTGGTTTAGCCATTGATACACACATCACAAGAATTAATGAAAAACAAACTTTTATAGGACAGTTAAGAATCTTCACATGACTGTGCATCTGGAATCATATGTAAGCCAGACCAAGCAAGGATGGTAACTGTCTTTCCCGAAAGGATATTAATGAAGCTGATGGGTTTTTACAAGAATTGATGATGGTTATCATTGTCACCCTCAGAGAGACTGGCTTTATAATTCCAAATGTGTTAGTTGAATTTAACTTTCACTGGCTGCCACGGTGTGATTTAAACTTGTTTCCAGAGCATTGTCTGGGCCTTGGAATTACTAGTCCAGTCACATTACTGCTATGCCACCACTTCTTGCCAAACTAATGTTCCAACATTTCAAGTTGCAAAATCAAAAGATCCTTTCTTAGTCTACGAATATGTTGATCCTGAAAGATGTGGTTCTACAGCCAGGAGAAAGTGGGACAGCCAATTTTGTAGCACCTTTCCTAGCCTCTTTCACATTAGTGTGATAGAAGATATCCCGAAGAGGATTGCTCAGTCACTGATGCTGCTATCCAAAGACTCTTCTGTCCCAACACAGAGTCCAATGACCTTCATGCCCCTGGTGTGTATGTGCCAATTCTTGACTATCGACTCTGAGATACACAGCTCTGTCCGTGTCACCAATTCTCCCTCAGTTGACAAATGGCACCCTGGTAGAAGCCTGTGACTTTGTTTAATATAGAGTTCTTAGGGTGCTGTCATTGTCCACACAATCGTGATGGTTTAGTGATAAAATTTGGTTACTTGTTGAGCCACCACGATCAAGATACCCTTGTGACTGTAGCCTTCTATATGTCTTCATAGCTGGTGAAAACACCTGGGCAGCACAGTGGCTCAGTGGTTAGCACTGCTGCCTTACAGGGCCAGGGACCTGGGTTTGATTTCACCCTCAGGTGTGGAATTTGCACATTCTCCCTGTGTCTGCTTGGGTTTCTTCTGGGTGCTCTGCTTTCCTCTCTCAGTCCAATGATGTGCTACATGGATTGGCCATGCTAAATTGTCCATGGTGTCCAGGGATGTGTAGGCCAGGTGGGTTAGCCATGGGAAATACAGGGTTATAGGGATGGGGTGGGAATGGGTGGAATGTTCTTCGGAGGGTTGGTGTGGACTCAATGGGCCAAATGGCCTGCTTCCACACTGAAGTGCTTCTTTGATTCTAACACAGTGTTCCTTCATCTGCTCTGCCATTGAAGACTTTTACAATCACAATACGACATTGGACAGGCCTTCTTCGAGCTGGTAGCTATGTTGTACTATAATTTTCATGCCCCATAGCTGTACTTTAAAATAGAATTGATATTTAGAAAGTGGGGATTGGAGAATTATTAGACATTGAAAGTTGCTTTAAGGTCTATGTAATGGATCTGAGAACTTTACCAGACAAATTTGAGACTGCACTGGATTTACCTTCCATGTGATGTCAGTTTGAAATAATGTAGAAATATTGCTTGCAGGGATTCTCACTTCATTTTTGTGTAGAGCCTGATATGTCTCAATTTATGCCACCAGGTCACAGCTGAAATTGCTTTGCATTACCGTTAAACCTGCAAAATATTGCAGGTCATTCATCTATTAGGAATCAGGTATATAGCAATGCTCGAATGTCACTATACACACACAGTTAATTTGGTTTGTCTGAGCTCACTCAGTGCATCACATTCATATAGAAGTGTAGAGAGTTTTCTCTGCAATGCTTGATTCACATGTAAGGACCTTTTCATGAGTTGTACTTTCTTAGGTTTTCTTCCTAATTTTATGTGAGAGATATGGATTTTGGGAACCATGGTTTACATATAAGTATATATGATAAATATGTAGCAGGTGAACATGTTGAATGTTCATTTGTTAAAGCTATGTTTCTGTGAGGTGGAAGGATGTGGATGAGGCAACATTGGTAGGAAAATCTATCCTGTTCTGTTACATCACAGTGATGAATATGGATTATTAACCTCAGTTATGGCCCTAACTCCTTTCAGGTGCCTAGTATAATATCAGTAACATTTTATACAGTGATAAATGTGGTTTATTTGTTTTTGTTCTGGCATTAGCTTCTGAAGGATCTTCACAAAGGTTTGATCCAGGAGAAAAAAAAAATGTAGCTCACTGCCTATGTCCAGAAGTCTAATACCCTGAAAATCCTGTTCCTGTGCTTTGCTTCAGCAGGTAATGAAGCTGTCAGTTGTCCAAACCAAAACATTCATGATCAGGATGGCAGCATGATATCGAAACCATGCAGTGAAGTTGTAAGGACATCATTTGAGGTGACGTATAGTGCACACATGGGCACTGGTTAACTCAGTTGGTTGGATAGTTAGCACGAGTTAGACCTGGAATGCTGAGTTCAATTGTGTTCCAGCTGAAGTAAACTCTGCTAGCCTCCTCACTCGAACTGTAATAAAAAAATCGTAACACTTTGCTGCGCTCAGGAAAACAATTGCTAAGGACTTGCCCTAATGCGGTAAACCAAAAAAGATTTTTATACATAATTGACTGAACATTAAACCATATGTTTTAATGTCCACAAAGTAGATTTGTAGCTTTTCTCCAACCAGCTGGGTTGGAATTAATTTCATTTGCATTAAGGATTAGTAAACAAAAGTCTTGTAAGAAGTGTTGAAGTTTGTTTGCATCTTAACCTGACATCAGTTCAGAAAAGAAATGGTTCATTTTAAAATGACCCAGAATTTATGGTCTGTGGTATGGAACAATGCTTGCCGTTTAGCTCCCGAACAGTTGACTACAAAGTTTTATCAGGCTTTGGAGTGAATACTCTAACGTGTGTTTGATCCAGTGCTGTGCCTTTTACAGTGTGTCTGTGCTGTTTGTGACATTGGCAAGAAATAGGGAAGCTTTCAACTAATTGAGGAATTATTTCCTAACCCCCACAGAATCTAAACAAGGAAGTCGAATACAGAAAATACAAATTAGAGTTTAAGTATGTTCAAAAAGTGAAACAAAGATTGGGAAAGATTGTTGAGAGAGATATATAAAAAAAAGAGATAAAAGGTAGAAGGAGTAAGACTAATTAAAAAAAGACTCCAGCTGTTAATTATGGAGCAGTGAGTTTCCTAGCTGTAGGCACGGATAGAGTCTTGCAGTTCTGAAGAGAGTCATACCAGATTAGAAATGTTAACTCCGTTTCTCTGTCTACAGATGCTGCAAAACCTGCGGAGTTTTTGTCGCATCCTCTGTTTGTTTCAGATTTCCGGCATCCACAACATTTTGATTTCTTTACAGAGTGCTGCTCTCTTCTACCAATTCATTCTTTTCTTCAGATTCAACATGCTGCTAAGCAGCTACTTAATAATTTTAAAAATGAATCTGCTACCTGGGGATACCAAGCTCCAATTCTGCCCTGGACACACCCATTCCTGGTGGGGTTAACTGTGGCTCACAATCAAGGCTTTACGGGTGTTTTCCTTAGTTTATTGCCTGCCAACTTACTCTGAGTTCGTATGAGTCTGGAGTCACAGGGATTCCCAGTGTAGTGAGTGTCTCCCTCAACCCTTCATGTCACTGGTCATGCTAGGGACAGACTTTGTCCAGAAACAAAGCCATGGAAATTCCTGTGGTTCTGTGACCAAACCGAGTTTACAGACATTTCACAGGCATTACAGTGGAATTCTGAAGCAAAGATCAGGGAGCTTGAATCCCTATGTTTTCAATTGTGCACTAAGGGCCAGGGTAATGTGATTTTGCATCCAGTTAATTTTCGTCTGGGAAAAACAAAGGACTTAAGCAACTTGTCAGGAATAAGTGACAACTAACAATAAATGTATGCTAGATTTGGAAACATATTTTTACAAAAACAACATAAACGTTCATCTTTTGAAGTGACAGCTTATTTCTCATGAGAATTTTTTTTGACATCGTTAGGTCTTTTTAATCCCGAATTTATTAGGTAGTTGGTGCTCAAAGCATGACAAAAGAATTCCGACAAAGTAAAACACTGTCACTGCTGAAAAGTTGAAATAAAGTCTGAAAATGATGGAATTGGAAAAGCAAAATGCTGCAAATGTTTGAAATCTGAAGCAAAAAAAAAATACTGGAAATCAACAGGTCAGGCAGCATTGCTGGACAGAAAAGTAGATGCTTCAGAAAAATAAAAGGTCACAAGCCCATAAGTTAATTCTGTTTCTTTATCCACAAGCTCTGGCAGACCTTCGGAGTACCCACAATATTTTTTGTTTTGTTACAAACATTTCTGAATCTTGCTTTTGCTTTGCTGATGAATTTATGCGATAGTTTTATCACTGAATTACTACTTTGTGTTGTGCAAAGTAAAAGACAAGTAACCAGGATATTTCTTAATTTTCAGGATCTGACTAAAGATTCCTTTTTGCTAAGTAAACTAAGCAGGAAATCCTCGTAAGTATTTCAGTCAGTCATTCTCTTAATTATCAGCCCATTTTTAAATAGGTAAAGCAGAAAGACTGTATTTTTGGATGAGGTAATATGATACTCTTATACCTCTGGTAGGTTGTGATATTTTTCAATAGATCCCACCTTGCATATTTAAGTTACACTGCACTGCAACAATTGTTGTGCTCCAATATGTACATTCAGATTGTTTATCAAAACATCTTAATTATATGAAGTGACTTTTTAAAAAATTTGCTCATGGGATGTGGCCATTGTTGGCTTGTTCAGCATTTATTGCCCATTAAAAGTTGCTCTAAGAAGATGGTGGTGAGCAAAGGGAATTCCAGGATTTTGATTCAGCGACACTGAAGGCACGGGGATATATTTCCAAGTCAGGAAGGTGAGTAGCTTAGCGGGGAACTTGCAGGTTGTGGAGTTTCCATGTATCTGCTGGAATTTTCTTTTGGTCTTATCACTTGACATTGCAGCATGTAAATGTACTTATCCCAATAATCTACTGGAGGACCTTTAAATTCCCAGCTTTGTTCTCTGCTAATAAGACGTCAGGAGTTAGAAAAAGATCAGTTAGCTTATTGATTGTTAGTCTTTTAATATCATAGCTAACTGAATTTGAGTGTAAGCATTATTGACAGCTTCATTGAGGGGGCTCAATTCTATCCCCTACAAAAACTTGGTCAAGGATGATGGGGATGATGTGGATAATGTTAATGTAAAATTGACACAGCTCAGTTAGCTTTACAGGTCTGTCCTACCAACATATTGCAATGTCAAAATATCAAGGGAGCATTAATACAGCATTGTTACATCTTCCATGTTATTTATTCTGTAGTCAAAATAAAATAGTGCTGATTTAGTGGCAGTTTTAGGTGGACTTGTGCTCCTCTGAACTAGGTTGAGACTAGTTTTCACACAAGACCCTTGCAAACGGGAAACTTCCACCTTAAAAGTCTGACCCTGAGGCTGCCAGCCCTTCAGGAAAGCCAGGGAATCTCTCACATTTGTTTTTGGAGTCAATGGGAAGTAGATTGCAATCTACTATTTTTAAGAAGCAACTTGAATGAAACATATATGAAAGCCTGAGCGGGCTTGATAGGATAGATACGGAGAAGATGTTTCCTCTTGTGGGAGAATCTAGAACTCATGGTTACCATTTTAATACAAAGATGCAGAGAAGTTTTTTCTCTTTTAGAGGGTTCTACAACTTTGGAGCACTCTCTTCCTCAAAAGGTGTTGGAAGCAATGTCTTTGAATATTTTTAAAGGCAGAAGTGGATAGATTCTTCTCAGCAAAGGAGATTAAAGATTGTCAGAGACTAATTGAGGTTGCAGTCAGATCAGCCATGATTTTATTAATTGGTGGAGCAGGCTCGATGCGCAAGATGGCCAACTCCTGTTCCTAACTTGTATTTTCAGACAAGATTGCCACTTAGACTTTTAAACTCGACTAGATACAGGTAGGGCTTTCTCACAAGATCTGCTCCTTCATCCCATGAATCAGTTAAGTGAACCTTCTTTGCACTGTTTCCAAGGTGATATATCCCTTCTTTAAAGAAGCAGTACAAAACTGTATACAGTACTCCAAATGTAGTCTCAATGTCCTGCAAAAATTAGCCAAACTTCCTTACCTTTAAATACTGTTCCACTTGGAATAAACAACAATATTCTGTTTGCATTCCTCATCACTTACTGGAAATCCATACTAATGTTTTGTGATTTGTGTATTAGGTTACCTGTATCCCTCTGTACAACAGAGTTCAGCAATCACATTCTATTTAAATAATATGCTGCTTTTCTTTTCTTCTTGCCAAATTGGATGTTCTCCCACAGCATGCTCCAGCTTTCCACATTTTTGCCTGCTCACTTGAGCTATCCATGTCCACTTCCAGGTGATTCTCCTATCTATCTTTTTATTATCAGTAAATTTAGCAGCCATGCATCTGGTCCATTTACACTGATATGGTTGCTAAGCAACTTAGGTTCAGATCCCTGCAGTAATCCACTTGTTATACCTCGTCAGTCAGAACATGTCTCCTTTATCTCTATCCTCGGTTTCCTGTTAGCTAAATCAATCTTCTTTCCATGCTAACCCTACACCATTAGTTCATAACTGGCACTTTGTATTCTGGAAATCCAAGTACACAGTATTTATAAAGATCCTCTTTATCTATGTTGTTGTTATTTCCTCAAGGAATTCTAAGAAATTAATGAAACATGATTTCCCTTTTGCAAAACCACGTTGAGTCTGCTTGATCGCATTTAGCTATTCTAAAAAACTCTATAACCTCCTTATTAATAGATTCTAGAACTTCCCCCTGACAGATATTAGGCGGTTTCCTCTTTTAGTCTCCCTATTTTTCTTGGAGAGCAGTTATGTCACTATTTTACAAGGGGACCTATCCAGAATCTAGGGGAATTTGGAAAATTAAAAATTACAAGTAATGCATCTACTATAGAATCAAAGAGACAAAGAATTCTACAGCTCAGAAAAGGGCCTTTCAACCCACTGAGTCCTTGTTGGTTAAAAACATGCACCAAACTATTTTAATCCCATATTCTAGCTCTTGGCCCATAGCCTTGTATGCCTTGGCATCTCAAGCGTACATCTAAATAATTGTTATGAGTATTTATTGTGTCTCTAGTGAGACATAGGTAGTGAGTTCCAGATTCCCACCACTCTGGGCGATAATATTTTTCCTCACATTCCCTCTAACCCTCTGCCCCTTACCTTAAGTCTGTGCCGCCTGGTTATGAACCCTCTACCAAGGGGATAAGTTCCTTCCCATCTTCCCTGTCTTTTCCCTTCATAATTTGATAAATATGCTGTGGCCCTACCAGCATTTTATACAGTTCCAGCATCACCTCCCTGCTCTTAAAATCCATGCCTCAGCTAATAAATGTAAGTATAACATATGCCTCCTTGATCACTTTATGTACCTGTCCTGCAACCTTACAGGACTGATGGACATGCACACCAAGGTCCCTCAGATCATTGGTGCTCCTCAGGGTCCTGCAGTTCATCATGTATTTCCTTGCCTTGCTTGTCCTGCCCACGAGTATCACCTCACACTTATCCAGATTGAAATCCATTTGCTACTGATCAGCCCATCTGACCGATCCATCTATATTCTCCTGTAATCTAAGGCTATCTTCCTCACTATTTACTACATACCAGTTTTAAATCTTCTGTGAAATTATTGAAAAACCTCGTACTTTCAAGTCCAAATCTCTTACGTAAACCACGAACAGCAAATGCCCCAACACTGATCCCTATAGAACCTTACTGCACATAGGCTTCCAGTCACAGAAACAATCCTCAACCATTACACTCTACTTCATGCCATTCCATCAAATTCACCAATTGGATCTAGAATTAATTATATCCCATGGGCTTTTACCTTTTATTATCTACCTTCCATGTGGGAGCTTAACAGAAGTCCAAGTAGACTACATGAAATGCATTGCCCTCATCTAAACACCTAATCACCTCTTTGAAATATTCCATCAAGTTGGTCAGACATTACCTCTCCTTAATAAAATCTCGCTGACTATTCTTATTTAATCTCTGATTCTCTGATTGCAGATTAATTCTGTCTTTCAGAATTGCTTCCCACCTCTGAGATTAGATTGATTGGTCTGTAGATTCCTGGTTTATCCCTTTCTCCCTTCTTGAATAACACTTCCACACTGGCTGTCCTCCAATCCTGTGGCACCTCTCCTGTGGCCAGAAAGGAGTTGAAAATTATTGCCAACACGCTTGTTATTTCCTCCCTTGCCTCACTCTCAGCCTGGGACACATTTCATCTGACTGGAGATTTATTTAATTTTACTTTATTAGTTATTCTTTGGTGTTTTTAATATTCTATTCAATCTCCTGATCTACCACTAATCTTCGTGGAATTGTAAACTTTTGCTTCAATTCTGATATAATCTTTCTTACTTAGCCATGAATGATGCATCCTTCTCCTCGAGTGTATCTTCTACACTGGAATATATCTTGCTGCTGAGTGTTATGAAGTATCTCCTTAATTATTTTTCCTTTACATTTCCACTGACTTATTGCTCGGTTTAATTTTCCAGTTTACTCTCTTTTCATGCTCTTATCTTTGTGCCAATGCTTGTGCCCTCCACCTGACCTTATTTCTTCTATTTTTAATCACTATTTGCGGATATCAATCCTATGTCTGTAGGTGATATTGCTGAGGGTAATAGGTAAACAATGATTGAGATACAGCAAGGTCAAGAAAGACAAATCTGCATGGCATTAATCATTGTTGCCTTTTACCAGGGCAGTTGGTTTGGTTAACTACTTAGTCAGTTTAGCTGGACTCTGAGGATTGGGTGATGTCAGCAGCTAGCTGGCGTATGAGGAAACTCTGTATAATATCTGCAAATGCTCAGACTATGAAAATAAACTCCTGAGAGAGACATGCTATAAAACTCCCGAGCATTGCAAGTACACCTTGTATTATAGCAGTCACAACATAATGTTTTCCGTTCAGTAAGTCACTGGCTTTTGCTGTGTTCCCTATTTATGCATTTCTTTTTTAGCTTTGTGTTTACATTGATCCAATTTTATATTGATTCTTCCACCTCAGTACTGTCTACCCCAGCAAGTTACAGAGGTGGGTATAAATTACATAAATTTTATGTTGAAACATCTACTAGAACAGATTGCAGGACAGACCAATTCTTGTATTATCATTCAGATAGTCAACTACAAATTAATTTTAATCATAAGCTAAACCACAGTGAGCATGATCCATCAAAAGGTCAGTTATATCAGAGCAGATAAGCATCAATTATCAATTAAGTAATGGTCCACTAATCTATTTTTGATGGTATCCATGCCTAGTCTTGGAGTCAAAGCAAGTGGTTGAACTATTGACTGTTCACCTACCATTTTAATTTGCTTATTTTTGTTTTGGTTATTACTGTTAATAATCTGGTCAAATAGAATCTTAGGACCAATTATCTTCAGCTGTTTCCACAATTACCTTACACTCCATTATAAAGGTCAGAATTAGAGATGTTTGCTGATGATTATACAGTGTTCAGCACCATTCACGATTCCTCAGATACTGAAGCAGTCTATGTCCAAATGCAATATGACCTGGACAACATCCAGGCTCAGGCTGACAAGTGGCAAGTAATATTCATACCACGCAAATGCTGGGAAATGATTATCTCCTATTAGAGACCGTCTCACCATCACCTCTTGACATTCAATATTTTGACCATCACTGAATTCCCACAATCAACGTATTTGAGGTTATCATTGACGTGGAGCTAATATGGACTTGTCATGTAAGTACTTTGGTTACAAGACCAGGTCAGAGGCTAGGAATTCTACAGTGAGTAACTCACCTCCTGACTCCCCAAAGCCTGTCGACCATCTACATGGCACAAGTCAGGAGTGTGATGGAATATTCTCCAATTGCCTGGATGGGGGAGCTCCAACAACACTCAGTAAGCTAGATGCCATACAGGACAAAGCAGCACGTTTGTTTGGCACCACATCCACAAAAGTTGAGCCACTCCATCACCGACATTCAGCAGCAGCAGAAATTCACCAAGCACCTTAAGCAGCACCTTCCAAACCTAAAACCATTACCATCTAGAAGGACAAGAGCAGCTGACTCATGGGAACACAACAGCGAGCAAGTTCTCTTTCAAACCACTCACCATCCTGGTTTAGAAATATATTGCCATTCCTTAAGTGTCGCTAGGTCAAAATTTTGGAACTCTCTTCCTGTTGGCATTGTGGATGTACTTACACCTAATGGTCTGCAGTGGTTCAAGAGGCAGCTGACCACACCTTCTCAAAGGCAACTGGGGATGGGCAATAAATGCTGATCCAGCCAGGGACGCTCACATCCCGTGAATTAATTAAAAATAAATCAATGATACTGTACAAGAGGAGGTCATTCAACTCTTTATGCCTGTACTGGCTCTTGGAAAGTGCATTTAGTGAGTTCAATTTTACGAATCTTCCTAATATTCTTTTCATGGACAGATCCAGTACTTTATGAATTTTACTACTTCTATTACCCTTTCTGACAGCGCTAGTGGTCCTTCCACAATTGTGAACCTGCCTTGGTGTCTCAGATCCTGACTATGATACTTTTGGAGTTATTGTGGCTGAATCTTGTTGCTGTCACCATGTTCATTTTCCACAGGTGCAATGGAAACTCTGTTTTACACGAGCAGATGTAGATTTTTACCATATCTCACACATGGAGAGCAGCTTGGTGGAAATCTCTCACCCAAGTTATTTATTACAATTTGTCAGAATTTGATTTTACTTGAAATGTTTCAGCAAACCTTTTTGTGAAGATACTTTCAATCTTAAAATTTGACAGTGCATTCAGTGTCATTGGGTTGACAGTGCGATGTTACTTCCAGTATCTAAAGCGGAGATTATAAGACAATATTCAAAGACATTCTAAAAGCAATTTCCTTTGGGATTGTAAAGAGTTCTGAAAGATTTTTAATTTGTAAAGTACATTATGTACATGTAAATTGTTGATGTACTTTCATTGTGTGACTATGTGCTGTTACTTCCACTCCATACAGGTCAAACTCATGTGTTATTGATGGTAAGTGGAAGGATTTAGAATGTTTAAATGTATATGTATTTGAAGTGACTCCACTTATGCAATTTTTATATTAATTATTGAGGATTTGTCATTGACTATATTGCTCAAAATTACAGATAGTTGAGTTAAAGATTGGAAAAATAATTTCTTCTGAAAGCGAGGTCCAAGTAGAACTATGCAATACGCGGTCTTGAATCTGACTGTATTACAGCTGTTTCCTCTGCAACCAATTGGGCAAAGTCATCAGTTCCATTCCCCTGGATGGGGCAATAAATTATTTAATTCAGCCAGATTGCTGCAGACTGCTGACCAGTCCAGCTGCTCTTGTGCTAGCTCACCCAATTTTCCTGAGAAGTAATATCGTTTCCAAACATGAATTATTTCTGGTCTAAGTCACCATTATCACCGAATTACCTCATCAGCTGCGTTGATAAAGAGGAGCTGGATTGCTTCTCCAGGCCTCAAGTGGAGACCTTGGTCTTCCCTTTCTTCGTTTTGGCCAAATATTCCTCTGTCCCAGCCTTACTACGCCATATCCCCATTTGAACCAGCTGCCAGGAATTGTTCCTACCCATATCCAAATATAATGACTTGCTCTACCTTTTGACCAGAATGCAGATCAATTGACTTTTCTGAAGAATTCACATAAACGAGTTCCCAAACTCTCCTGATCGGCACTAGCTTTGGGCCATACCTGCCTACCACTTTAAAATAGGGCTGATATTTCAGTTGTGTCAAGGTCTTCTCCTAGGCTGTTCAATTTGGAGGGGCTCCTGTAATGGTAGCAACTGGAATCCATTATATTTATTCACTAAACAAAAACATGTAAGATTTAAAAAAACTTAACTCAATAAGAGAAATGTACTTGTCTTGATATTTATCTCTTGATAATCAGGATGCATTATGTTTCAGGATTTGTTACCTCATTTAAAACTTCTCAGGATCTGAACTACCATTACTCTGGTAAGGAAGAGCGAACACTATTCATTAAATCTTTCATTATCTATTCTGAGTTGAGCAAACTAAGTATTTATTGCTCACAGGTCACAAGACTGTATCAAATTGTATAGCTTCTAATGTTTCTTTTTTATTAATAGCTATTTTCTGTATTATGCATATGCCCTGTAATGTTAAGTAACTAATTACTACAGATAGTGGTGTTTTCACTTGCAAATCTCAACTACATGTTATGCCAGTCCCAGAGTAACGTTATTCAATAGAAAGAGAATATAGGAGCAGGAGTAGGCCACTTGGCCCTTTAAGTCTGTTCCACCTCCATATATTTACAGGGAGTTAAAATCAGGTATGATCTCTCTGGCCACCACATATTCCTTTCTAAATCTCTTGAAAGCATTGCTTCTTTTCCCCTCCATGACAAAAGTTTCAGGCCCAAAGTACAGTACAATTAGATAATTTTATCAGACAATATTATGGTGTAGAAATCATAGCAGTAACCAGGCACCTAAATTTGCATTGCCAGGCAGCATGGCAATTTACCATCATTGTCTCATCTTGAGCCATTTTTGGATTGGCTAGTTCGGGGCCATTAAAAAAAAAAATCACCAATGCTCCTTAGATAGCACTTTCCAAGCCCTCAACCACTACCATCAGAAAGGACAAGAGCAGCAAATACATGGTCACCACCTGCAAGTTCCCCTCCAAGATACTCACCATCCTGACTTGGAAATATATCACTGTTTCTTTGCTGTCATTGTGTCAAACTCCTGGAACTCTCTCCCGAAAGTCAGTGTGGGTCCATCTACAGTAAATGGACTACCGCAGTTCAAGAAGGCAACTCACCACCTTCTCAAGGGCATCTAGGGACAGACAATATAAGTTGGCCCAGCCAATGATGCTCACATCTCATGACGAATTAAAATAGAAATTAATTGCCTATTAAGTGTCTCTGCCCCGTCAAACACACCCAGTCAGTCTCTTGATGGCAGACCAGGGACTAACATTCCACAACAACTCTGTACTTCCACAGTAAGGCTCCTAACCACACCTCCCACCACAACCCCACCTACTGGTTGCAGCTTTGACTGCAGGTCACCCTGTAAAGTGATTGCTCTTCCACAATGGTGGTCAAGCAACTGTGGCATATTTTAGATCAAATCTTTTAAAAGTGATAGGAGGATGTCTCAAAATGGAGGTGCTTTCCTCAATGGCAGGCTGCAGTGCCTTCCATGCACATAATTAAGTTAGGTTATTAGATAAATTAATTAAATAAGCATACACTCTGTCCTCTAATTTGTTAGTCCAGTCAAAATTGATGTTGAATGAATGCTGCTGACACAGTGTCAGGTTGGGATCCATATTTGACCCAGTGACAGTGCTTGCCCAAAGTGGAAAAATCCTTCTCATCATATCTTATAACAACATGGTCAAACTTATTTATCGTGATGCCTTTTTATATCTTCATTAAAGTTTTTGCGCCACAATCTTAGCTTTTCCAATAGGCTTTGACTTGATTTCTTTTTCTTGAAACCAAAACTCTGTTGTTGAATGTGGAATTTTCCAGGATACTTCAGCATGGTTCAGTCAGCTGTACGTTTTTTAGTGGGTTTGAAAACCTTTCGCTCAATAGCTCTCGATGAAAGAATTTTGAAAAGTTAACAGGCAAATGTGACAAAGTTTTAGTGAAGTAAAATTTGTTTTGAACATATGTTGAACAGTAGAAGAATTAACCCTCATATTTACAAGCCTTGTATGGGGGTTTATACCATGGTAGAATGTGAGGGTTGGGTTATTTGAAATCCACCCAAATTTAACAGCAACATTATAATTTTTTGTTCCATTTCCTGTCCTGTCCTGTGCAAGTGCAAGTCTAATTTAGCACTCTTCACTACAACCATTGCCAGACTGCCTTTAAGTAATGCTACGAGAAGGTAGCTAGTTGTGGTTTGAAAGGGAAAGGTATTCCAATGCAGAGGTACTGGGTGACTTTTAAGGATGTGTCTGTGGAGTGTAGATGATGGCTCAGTATTTTGCATCAAAATAATAAGACGTAGGTCTGCCCCCCTTTATCTATTGCCTGGCTGCTTGACCTCATCAAAGGAATTAGCTGCAAAAATATTCCTTAATAGGGAGGGAATAAAGTTTCATCATGGAAATGCTGGCCTAACTGTCCTCTTAAAGAAATGGTGCTTGTTTTCAACAAGGAATAATAAGTACATTTGAAGAATGGAAAATAAGACATTTCTCAAGTAAACTTTTAACATTGTTTTAAATATGTTTCTTTCTCTTGCAGCGGTTGAAAGAAATAATTTAATGAGGCTTGCGCAGACAATACCATTCACGCCCGTGGATCTCTTTGGTAATGTTAATATGCTTCTGTTTTGATTTGAAGATCTTATTGCCTGTGGGACAGGGATTGCTTGTTGTGAGAACAAAATGATGATCAGCCCTGTTGGGCAGTGTGTTCTGCTAAATGAAAGCACAGGTCTGGCACTTTCTTACAATTGACAGCATTTGATCAAGATTATGTACAGTACAGCTTATTACATTGGGACACAAGTGCAGTACTTCTGCTGAGATGTTAAAATTGAGAAGATTCCACATGTGAATGTCCTAGTCCTAATTTATCTACAATGCTTTATTTTTGTAGAATGAGTATTGGATGTAACATTTACTTGAAAATGAGTGCTACAAAGTAAAAGCAAGAGAATGGGAGTAATGGCTTTTTCTTTTTCTGTGCTGTGTGGTTTCATGATTTATGACATTCCTTTGCACCAAAAGTGCATATGTGGTCAGAAGTTCCAACCAATAACCAATAAGGGTGGCACAGTGGCTCAGTAGTTAGCAATGTTGCCTTACTGTGCCAGAGACCTGGGTTTGATTCCATCCTTGGGCGACTGTCTATGCGGAGTTTTCACATTCTCCTCGTCTCTGCGTGGGCTTTCTCCGGATGCTCCAGGTTATTCCCACAGTCCAAAGATGTGCAGGTTAGGTGGATTGACTATGCTAAATTGCCCATAGTGTCCAGGGATATGTAGGCTATGTCAATTAGCCATGGGGGAATGCAGGGTTGCAGGGGTAGGGGCTGAGCCTAGGTGGGTTGCTCTTTGGAGGGTCAGTGTGGACCCAACAGGCTGAATGACCTGCTTCCACACTGTAGGAATTCTATGATTCTTAATAATCTTCTCAGTAACATTTTGTATTTCTCTTATTTTTCCTATTGCAATGTTACGATTTCCACTTATTTTAGCCAAAAATGATGTAATTTCTTCCTAAAATCAAAATGTGAATCTTTCTTTCCTTGTTTGTTTTCTCCTTTCTTCTGTTTCCCCTCTCCATTGTGCAGGGAGAGAGGAATTCTTGAAAAATAACTTGTTTTTTTTAATTGGCTACTCAATAGATTTGAAGACGGGTGTTTTAGCTCATCAACAGCATGCATCAGTTGGTCCTTACATAGATGGTATGTGTTTTCTTCACTGGTACCTGAACAGGACTTGAGTAAAGTAAAACTCTGTGGTGCCCAGAAGTACCTGGATGAGCAATTAATTCATGTTGCTTGAAAATGTACACACTTTTTGAACACCATAAAGTTGTCAGTAGACTAACTATTACAACTGCATTTTGCAGTTGCTAACATGTTGAAGATACTGCTATCATTTTATATTCCTGTGCAGCTGGTGAGGAGGTAACCATCTACAAATTGGAGGAGAGTTCACCGGTGAACCTGGACAAGAGTATGTCCTCCTGGTCTCAGCACGGTTTGGCTGCCATGATCCATGTCCTTTCCAAGGAAGAAATGGATGGAGGTCTTCGTCGGGCTATGAAGGTGTGCTGCACTTGGTCAGAGGAAGATGTGCTGAAAAGTGGGCAGACTTACATCATAAAGTCCTTCCTGCCAGAAGTAGTTAAAACCTGGCAGAAAATCTTTAGTGAAGGAACAGTGCTCCATCTCTGTCTGAGAGTAAGTGATTGAGGGTGAATGGGAGGACTTTTCAATATTTTTGAGGGGTGGGGGATGTGGCTAAAGATTTCCAATGCTCTTGGTAACTTCTGCTCATACTCTAAATATTTTAGGTTCCAATCTATCCTCAGAGTTCCAAAGGATTTGTGTGGAATAGAGTTTCTAGTTGAGGAGAATAGATAGAGCCCAGATACCTAGGGCAACTACTCCCCATCTTCCTGACCATCAAAGGGCTCATGAAAGGTTTGACAGCTGATATACCCAGAAGACCAAAGCCAACTAGTCTCAGGAATGGAACTTGGGATATAACCCTGAAAAGGATCACTGAGAATTCATTAAAAATGAATAGTTTTTCAGCTCCCTAATAAAGGGGCTGCTGATGCAGGGGAGGCAATGGCCTAGAGGTATTATTGCTGGACTGTTAATCCAGAGAACTAGGTAATGTTCTGGGGAATTGAGTTTGAATCCCACCATGACAGATTATTTGAATTCAATAAAATCTGGAATTAAGAGTGTAATGATGACCATGAAACCATTGTCAATTGCTGGAAAAACCCATTTGGTTCAATATGTCCTTTAGGGGAGGAAATTACCATCCTCACCTGGTCTGGCCTACATGCAACTCCGGACCCACAGCAATGTGGTTGACTCTTAACTGCCCGCCGGGCAATAGGGGAAGGGTAGTAAATACTGGCCTGGCCAGCAATACCCACATTGCATAACTGAATAAAATAACCATTAAAAATTCTATGTACAAATTTCCAACAATCCCATCCCCAGTGCGCCCCATCCCCCCACACCTCTCATACTCTGGTTGTGGGCCAGAGATCCTGGGAACCCTCATCAGAGAATGGAAGTGCCACCTTAGTCCTCAATAACTTCTCTCCACCCCATTACTGACAGACAGACAAGTGTGCGTGCGCGCGCGCGCACACACACACTATATATAAGTACTTTTTAATAGCCTATTGTTTTGCTGATGAGTATTGTGAATTTAATCTGTATCCCTATAAATATTTAAGTTTTTGTCTGCTAATATTGCCAACAGTAATCCCTAAGCTATGAACAAGTGATTTCTTCAGGATCACATATATTCATTTCACAAGGACATGTGTTACAATTTTAAATTCCTTTAACCTTTCTGTTGACAGGGTTTGAAATTTTACAATTTCACCTGTTGTAGAAACTGAGCCCTTTGCTCATTACAGGATAGAAAGTATTCACACTAGTCTCAGGATATGATGAATTTTGATAGTATGCCCAGAGTAATGAATAATGACTGTTTAATTTGCTAAATTTGTTGAATTTATCTGATACATATAAAGGACCAGCTTTGCCTTGGAAATCAATTGAAGGGGAGAGTGTGGGGCTTTGGTGGGGAGTGGAGGAATGGGTGGGTAGATGGAGGTCACTATCACTAGTTAAGAGAGTGAAGAGACAAGAAAAATAGGTGTTTCTCAGCAGCCCACTACACCCAATGTTTCTAATGCTGGATACCTCAATCAGGCACTAAAAGCTTTGTACATGAGAGTCTCATCTCTATCTGCTAGAAGCTCACAAGCAATTCAAAATCTAAAAACATTTTCTTTTCAGTGTCCCTTGTGTGGTAACTCCTTAACCTGCCTTTATAGTTGACTATCATCAGTGGTCCCTTCCGTAGACATTAACCATAAGACTGACTTCTCTCCCTCATGGCTACAATAGCTTGGGTAGTGGCCAGACCTTGAAATCCAGTTCTTTAAAAAGCTTCTTGTAAAGAAAGCTCTCAATTTCATTTACATCTTTTGGTCGTGTGTTTTCTCCTTAACTCTATCTCCTACTTTCAATTACTCCCTTACACAGTTGTACACACGCATTCATGAACCTTGAAGAAACTTCACTGTCCCACACAATATTCTGATAATGTCTTTAAATCAGAAATCAAACATTCCCATTTGATCCCAGAGACTACATATTTTGTTGCTTTTTTTTTACATTTTAAATGATACTTTATTTTCACATACATAACGCTGTAAGTTGTGCCTGACATGTTTCATTTAAAAATTATATCAGGTTCAGGTGGCAATGTTTTTTGTTAGTGTTCGTTTATTTCTTCTCTAATCTTTTTTTGATATTCAGTTGGCACTTTTTTCCTAAAATAAAATCTGATTGTTGCTTTAAATTTCCCTTTGAGTTCTTGAAATAGCAACTTGTAGCAATTAATTTCATCAGTTCCAATTGCAGAAACATTAATGGTGATTTTAAATCAGAGACAGAAGTGCTCTCAATCTGATTAGAGGCAAGTTTCATATCTCTGCTTCTCAAGCACTTTATTTTGGAAGATGCCAAATGAACTGAATGCTTAAGGCCAAGTCTGTGAAAGGCAGAGCCATTAATCCAAATTGTTCCCATGCTGCACTTTGCTTCTTACAACTGCTGAATTGCTTGCTGCATCATAAATGTTCATGCACATTTGGCGCTGACCATTGTCTACTTTTTAAAAAAAGCTCAAAATGTCCTTTTGACTCTGCCGAGGAGCTTAATAGGTTAGAGCTTCCAATCATATTTGTCCATTTAGAAGTTTACAATTTAATAATGCTTAAGTCTTCATTTAGCGATATGAATATGGTATGATGATGCTGCAGCTTGTTTGTAAGGGGACAGAAGAAACTTCTCATCTGCATGCAATTGCATCGTTTCTTTGGCATGCATTTTTTTGAATTTTTTTCCCAATTAATATAGAACCAAAATCTGTTTTAAACAATTTTATTTCCAATGCTTTACATATCTGTTCTCTAACTTCATGAAACATCTTTTCTTCGGTATTTGAAAAACAACAAAAATCATTAGTAAGATTATCAACTTTCAACAAACTGATCTACATTTTTTCATGAAGGAAGGCAGAATATTATTTTAAAAGGAAACGATTAAATTGAACCTTTTTCCCTGTTTCCTTTTCCTCAGGGACCTTTCCAAATGAGTATCATAAAAGTATAGAAAAATAACACCAAAGAAAAGGTTAGCTTTTATAACTAAGCAAAATTTTGAACTTTGCAGAATTGAACTACGGCAAAGGGGTCAGGATATTTACCAAATCTCTCTCCCTTAAACCAATTATCGATTTCTGATGTTTTGGATTTAATCTAATTTGAATGCAACAGCTGCAAAATGTGTTGTTAATTTGATTTTTTGAAAAACAACTCTATTGCAAGTGTTTTGAAAAGTTTATATTGGATTGCAGACACCCTAGCAACCAGAACGTCAAAGAGGAAATCTGCCTTGGTGACTTTCAGATTTGTAAATTAAATTTTGCTAAAATTAAATCCACACTACTCTTTAACTTACATTTTTTTTTCCAATTCTTTAAGTTTCACCAAAATTTTCACCAGCTTCAGTGACAGCTTGACCTGGAATCTCCTCTCCTTTTGCCCTTTTGATTTTAAAATGTGTGCCTCATAAACCAATTCATTTCAGCATTTCTTTTGCTTAAATCTTCATTCCTGTGCATCCTCAGAAATGCAATTATAATCCCATTATCCACAATATTTACTACCATGAAATCACACTTCTGACAGGCCCTTTGTAAGATTTAGACTGAGTTTGAGAGTCACACATGATAGAAAATGCAGGTCCGAGTCTTAAATGGTGTAAATGTAATTTATTATGTATTCAGCAGTTTATATATAAAATAGCCAGGAAATGTATACAACTGTGATAGGAGAGAGCATCTTTCTCCTTGGCTACAATCTTGCTTACATTTCAGTTTGTGATTGTTAGGTACTGTTCATGTGTTCTTCCAGAGAAACAGCCAGAAGCTATATTCCTGTGCCTACTAATTGTATAATATTCTGAAAAGCACCATTCCTTAATTTAAGGGCCTTAATTAGAGTATTGGGCATAAAAGTCACTACAACCTTTCCTGCTCCAAGACCTAATTAGCTAGAGGCTGGAAGGTGGAAGAAGTCCCCTCCTGTCAGCTCTTCCTACCGTCAGGACGAGGGCATTACATTCTATCTATAGAGTGAAGATTGAGCAAGAGATGGAAGATGATGAAATCTGTGAGGAAATGTGGGATTATCACCTTTTAGAAGAAGGTTAGAAAAACAGATTTTTAAAATTGTAAGACACCAGTAAATGTAGGTATACAAGTGTTCGCATATGCAAATTACTGAAAGTTAATATCCAAGTATCATAAATAATTAAGGTAAATGGTATGTAAGCCATAATTAAAAGGGTGTTGGAGCTTAAGAGTAAAGAAGTCTTGCTGTTTTGGTGAGATCATACCTAGAATACTGAGTACAGTTTACATCTCCTTACCTAAAACATGTTCATTAGATTGAATTTTGGAATAAAAGATGTCCTATATACAGAGATTGAATGGAATAACCCTTTGTTCTCTGCAGTTTAGAAAACAAGGGGTGAACTTGTTAAAATGTGTAGTATTCTTGACAGGACAGATGCTGAATGGCTGTTTTCCCACCTAGAATTAAGTTAAGGGATCGTAGGACTGAGATGAGGAGAAACTTCTTCACTCATGGAGCTTTTAATGTTTGAAATTCTCTACATCATGGGATTCTTTGCGCTTGGGTATAGTCAAGACTGAGAAAATAAATGACTAAGGGTATGAGGATAGGGTCAATTATTAGAGATCATGTAAAAGGTGGCCCACAATCATATTGAATACAGGAGCAAGTTTTGGCTGTCGCATGGATTGCTCCTGCTCCAGCTCTTATGAGTTGTACCCTATTTTGAATGAGATATTGAAGAAATAAAAGTCAAAATTCAGATTAAAATTTACTAAGGGGAATATTCTGTATTCTCTGTATGCAGTATATTCTTGTAAATATATTTAGAGTTTTGTCATGCACAAAGGAATCTTCAAACATTTTTCAACAGTTTGATCAAAGTGTATTAAAACAGGATTTTAACCTTAGTATTGATAGGGTGATTTTTTTTTTCTGTTCCCTGTTGAAGAGTTTTTCTTTTCTTTTGCTTTCTTTCAGGAAATTCAGCAGCAAAGAGCTGCACAGAAACTCATTTACACTTTTAATCAAATGAAGCCACAAACCATTCCTTATACTCCACGGTAAGAAGCTGGATTTCTAAATTATGTTATAATGTGCAAGTATCTGTGTAGCATCAAAGGTATCACACCATTCACCAGCACCCACTTTTGAATGGACATCAAAAACCTACCCAAGTTCCATTCAGAAATATTAGGTACATCAAAAAAAAAGCCAGATCTGTATTTTAAAAGAGCTGAATTTTCTCTAAATTTGGTTAAGTGCCATGGTGGCGAGTTTAGTGGAGGGTTTTGTCCTGTGAGGCCGAACGACTTTTCCCTTATAGTTCTCTGGTGGTTACCTCATCAAGTACACAGCATGCCTCCATAGTGCCACCCTTGTACACTGGTGTGCTTAGTGGCAGCAGACATACTCACTGTCACTGGAACTTTCCAATGTTTATGCAGTGGGCGCCATATTTAAACTGCAGCTGAGCCCCATTTCACGTGCTACCAGCCTGGTCTGAAATCACCACCCAGGTCAGTGCAGCGTTTGCTGTTCAGAGAAACGTACAGCAGTGCTGCAAGAAGTTTAATTACCTTCTGCACTCCATAAAGGTAAGTGCATCTTCGCTTTTCTATCAAACACTCATTCTGGCTCTGCCAATGCACACAACTTCCATCGAGGGTCACTGCCTACCACTCTCACTATTGCATGCAGCACCTTCCCTCAATGTCTCTCAGCCACCCGCAACCCTCCCAAGCTACTCACTGTTCCTGCCCTCTGCACTACCTGTTCACTCATTCAGCTCACTTTCCTGACTGTGGATGGGCTTAATGACTCTTAATTGACTATAAAACCACTTCATTGGACTAAGGTCTGCTCCCTTTTGAGTTTTAGACATGGCCATTTGGTTGAGTTTCATACAGGGTGTTTGCTGAATAAGCGGCCACCACATGCTGTAGGCATGACGTTGAGGTAGCACAATGGCATGCACCAACATTTCCACCCTTGTGACTGCTCCGTTTTGGCACACAAAATCCACAGGTTCAGAGTGAAGGGGTGACCCTTTAGAACCGAGATGAGGAGGCATTTCTTCAATCAGAGGGTGGGTAATCTGGGGAACTAATTGCAATCTGGGGAATTAATTGATACAGAAGGCTGTGGAGGCCAAGTCATTGAGTGTATTTAAGACAGAGATAGTTAGGTTCTTGACTAGTAAGGGGATCAATGGTTATGGGAGAAGGCAGGAGAATGGGGTTCAGAAACATATCAGCCATGACTGAATGGTGAAGCAGACTCAATGGGCTGAATGACCTAATTCTGCTCCTATATCTTCTGGTCTTCTTGTCCTATGGTACATCAAAAGCTACCTGGTTTTCAATCTGCAATAAAATGTTAAGGTAGAGATGTTGTGAGCATCCAAGTAAGTGTAAAGTGTAAATGAAAACAAGCTACAGCCCTGAGCTGCACCCTGTTCTGATGTATGAAATGGATGCCTGTACCGAAGTGTCTTGGCAACAGCATTGCAATGTAAGGTGTTGGGGCCCAAAAGTGCAGAATTGAAGAGGTGATGTGTATTGTGAGTCTCAACTGCAACATAATGATGTGGTGAGGCTTGTGCTTTGCCTTTGTCCTTGGGCAGAGGGTGCAGGTGGCCACTGCCCACATAGTGTACCATGAGATATTGGAGAATGTTGGCCAAGATGGATGCCCAGAGGTTACACTGATGAGCTGCGCTGCCAGGTACCTGCTCAGACTTTCAAGTTATCACCCAGTCTTCCTATTGCCTAAAAACAAATGCATCCTGCATATAAATAGGGCGATACTGGGTAACAGTGAGGTTTAGTACATGCAAAGATACCAATCATTGTCCACTCACAAGATTTTTATCTTGCTGTTAAAATCTTATGTGGAAAATCTGACTTTTTCTTCTCAACATTGAAAATCTCATTGTTTTTATTCTCACCATATTGTCCTAATTGTGGCATCATTCCCACATTGCTCCAACGTTGATAAAATTCAGCCCTATTTCTCAACCATGGTTCAACCATGTCACGTTTGTGAGTTAAAAATGTCATGCCAGAAACTGGTGTACATAAATCAAGTGCTGTACTGAGGGTATGCTGTCTTTTGCATGTAAAAGATACCACCATTATTTGAAAGAGAACAGGAGCCTTCTGCAGTATCCTTAAAAGCAGATTATCAGCCCTTTTATTTTAGTGCTATTTATGGGGCTTGCTGTGCATAAAATGGCTGCTGTGTGTCCAATTATGCTTCAAAAGCAATGAAGTTCTTTAGAACACCCTGAGGTCATGAAAGGCACATTATAAATGCAGGTCTTTATTTTAAGTGCTACTTAAGCTCTTGACAGTGGATATTCTGACCATATAGTGGATTCTGAAAGATATGGCTGCAAGCAGTGACAGTGTGCACAAGTCATTCAGTCATTTTGACGTGCTTCTTCCCTAGTTTCTACTGAGTAGGAAGCCAGAAAATACAACTTGACCTGTTTAAAGAAAGTAACATTCATTTGCTGTTGCTGTTAGTGCTGTTAAATTGTCCCCACGTTCCAAGCTGCAAATGGAACTAAAAATTCACAGTAGCAGGAATTCTAACATAAAATGATTGTTGCCTGAATTTGGTGAGGGTCCACAATCAGGATAGCAAAATTCCTCTCGTAGTAAGGAGAATACGTTGGCTCACTTACCAACCCACCAATAAAATAACAAAATGGCGACAGCGTTAAACGGAGGCAATGAAGAAAAGACTATGCCATTAAATAACATTTGTGTAAAATGTTAGCTGATAGATAACTTCAAATGAAGGTTTTCATTCTCTGATTTTAGATTTAATTGAGAATTGCAAAGTATCTGATGTTTTCACAAACTGCTTGTCACCTTATAGATTTTCCATTATATTTCAGTTTGTGACACAGTAGCAAAGGTATATCAAAATAGTTTGCACAAATCATGTGTTCGACATTAAAATAGCTATGCTCTTCAGTTAAAAAAGAATGTATCTTTGTGCTCACAGCACAAAAAGTTAGGGAATTTATTGAGATAACAAGGTGTACAGCTGAATGAACACAGCAGGCCAAGCAGCATCAGAGGAGCAGGAAAGCTGATGTTTTGGGTCTAGACCCTTTTTTTTTCTGAAGAAGGATCTAGACCCGAAATGTCAGCTTTCTTGCTCCTCTGGTGCTGCTTGGCCTGCTGTGTTCATCCAGTTCTACGCCTTGTTATCTCAGATTCTCCAGCATCGGCAGTCCCCACTATCAGGGAATTTATTGGTACATTTTTGGATTGAATTTTATTTGGTGGATGCGCAGCATCACATACATGTGGCAGACTTTTACCAGCATTTGAGCATTTGGAAAATAGCAGGAAATTTGGGAAAAGGCAGCAACAATAGAAAAATGAATTTCTTGACATTGAGAAAAAGAGTTTTCCCTTAATGTTTCATCAGCTGGATGAAAATCCTGCTGGTAAGCAGTCAGGACCCTATTACTATGTATTTACATGTTATTATTAGCTAATCTCACCTAATTTATCTGCATTTTACAATTCTCCTGGCTATCGGTGAGAAACTAGCTGATGTCAATTCCCAACCTGAAAGTCTGAGTTGTCTGCAGCTTTGGGCCTCCATGTTAGCCATCATTCGCCAACATCTGCTGACATGCTTCATGGGCAGTGACTGGCTGCATCTCTCTGTCCACAGAGTTGGTGTTGGCAAAATACCAGTCTCACCGCATCATCGTGGTCAACCTTGGACTACCTTTGAAGACACTTCAGCAGTCAACATTGGAATTCACCGACACCTTACATTGCAATATTCCAATCGGTTCATTTTGCATCAAGGGCACTCATCCATCTTGTCCTTCTATATAGGCTACAACTCAAGGTCCTTAACCTGCTTTCTTAGCATTCACTTACTTTGTGTTTACTTGGACAGACAACATTTCTGCCTTGCCTTGCCTTTTAGCACCGATAAAACATCAGGTAGCTTGTGTTGCATGTCTGCACTGAACAGTCAAGGAGGAGGATATACTCCTGTACGGCAACAAACTACATCAATGTCACAGCTGACATGGCAAAGGCAAATGGCCACATCTGAAAGTACTTCCTAACTGAGTGAAAGGGGATCTGCGGTCATTCAGGGAATACCACACTCAATCAAGGACACTGTCCAATCTGAGTCAAGGGGTTTGGCCACAGTTAGCAGTGCATGACTCTGGGGCTTTGGGCAGTAAGTGTTCAGGGAGGGAGTGGGGGTGTGATTAGGGACGAATGGGAGAGGAAAATGCGAAAACCAAGAGGATTGCAACCATTGCATTGGAATACAGAGAGGATAATGTCTGATACTAAGTCACATGAGATGATATTCAACCAGTCTTCATTAAAAATTAATTTGAAGGAACATCTTAAAGGAGGGAAGAAAGATAGAGAGGTGGAAACATTTCACAAGAAGAATCCAGACTGTATGACCTCAGCAGCTGAAGGAACAGCAGCCAATGGTTTAGTGAGCAGCTCAGGAGGCACAGATATGCTGGAGGGTATTGGGCCTTAAAGGTTACAGACTTGTTTGTAAGCTCTAATTTTTTTCAGTAAGTACATACTGATTGGTCTTCCTGAAACAAATAATGTTAAAACATGTTGAGCCTTCATTGGTAGATTCGGGGCTGTCATATTTGTCCTTAAATAACTTCCATGGAGTATTGATCATTTGATAAAGGTAAGAGAGGGAATTTTAACTTTCTTGACCCACCAAGAGCAGTCGATGGGGTGTGGGAACCGCTGCAGTTAGGATTACATCGCATTCTGTGGAGTGTTAACTTCATCTTTATGGTGATTCCAGTGCCGATTCTAAGCTCCCAAGGGGTGCGGGTGAGTCCACTTCTGGATGTGTGGAAGAGTATGAGGAAGAATCTCATCAAAGGAATTGGGTATGGTGGTGGAGATTATGGTGGCCTGAGGGATTGGAGGCTCCTGGGGTGTGTGTCAAAGCCCTTAGGGGAGGCCAGAAGCTTGTGGTGGAAGAAGATCAGTGTGGAGAGTGGGTAGCCTTTGGGTTGGGATTGGGAGATAGCTAGATGCCTGGTGGGCAAATCAGGTTCTTGGGGGATAGGGAAAGTCGGTGGCTATAGGTGGGGTATGGAAAAATTCACAGCCCTTGGTAGTCATGGCAGATCAGAAGCCTGTCGGAATGATCAGGGCAATGTGGAGTGGGTGTGGGAACAGGGGAGTTGGGAGTGTGATTGATTTGAAGGGGTTTGAGGTGAACTGGTATCTAATCCTGGGTTTGTCCAGCCATGCACACGAGATTGAACAGATAAATAGAAAGACAAGTATCTGCTCAACCCAACAACCCCTCACCTAGGTTATCTTCATAAATCCGGGGAAATCTAATTGGCTAGCATAAAATTTCAAAAGTTGAATTGAAATCAAACTGGCAACCTCCTTAATACATTTAAGTTGTCCACCTGCCTCTTGGTGGTGGTTTAGTGGCCAGCATTCTGCCTCACCATCATTAACCTGGTTGTAGACGGATTGGAGATAGGATTAAGACTTTTGACATTTTAGCATTGCATCTGGCTTTCAGGATTAAAATTCGCGCCATAGAATGGGAATCCTGCCCTCTTTTTTTTCTCACCTCAGTAGCCGAGTAAAGCTGAGGTCAAATGTTGGGCTCTTATTGACATCAGCTAATTTAGCAAAAATACACATTATCCCTAGGCCCTTTAAGGTCTGCATGGCTCAACAGGACATAGGGCAGGGCATTTACCAACTTTCAGGAGAGCTCCTAAATGACCTTTTGAGAAAAGGCATAGGATTTACTTTAATAAACAAAAAAAAATGTCACTTCTTTGTTTTATGAGGTTTCTGGAAGTTTTCCTGGTTTATTGCCATTCTGCTAATCAGTGGTTAACAATGGAAAAGTACATGAATGGTCAGTTCAGAAAGTACAACAACAACAATGGAGATGAACTAATTCCGACAAATCTGCTGGAAGAGACCATGTTAGCTTTTTCTCATTGGTCGTATGAATATACAAGAGGGGAACTACTCGTGCTGGACTTGCAAGGTTAGTGTGGTGCGTTCGTTTGGACAAAATTACAATGGCTTGTGTCTTTCTATATTTTTGATAGAAGGTTTTCTCTAAAGCCCTTGTATATTTGTTATCCTCTGGGGTGAGCAAGAAGCACCAGGCCACTTGCCACCCCAGAGCAGACCAGTTACCAGGTGGTACAGTGGCTGTGTGGTTAGCACTGCTGTCTCACAGCACCAGAGACACAGGTTCAACTTGGTTGACTGTCTCCCCATGTGCTTCGGTTTTCTCCCATAGTACAAAGAAATGCAGGCAAGGTAGATTGGCCATGCTAAATAGTCTGTAGTGACTTAGGGATGTGCAGGCTGGATGGGTTAGCCATGGGAAATGCAGGGTTAGAGGGATAGGGTGAGGGCTGGGTCTCGGTGGGATGCTCTTCAAAGGTTCAGTGTGGACTTGATGTGCCAAATGGCCTCTTTCCACACTGTATACATATTCTATGAATTACAAGTTTAACTTGGTCAACTAAGGAGGCAATGTGGAAACTGACCTGAATCAACAGGGTGGTTTGGGTACCAATAATGTTGATGTTACTCAACTGCATTCTTAACTCAGTGGTCTGAGAGAGAAGCTGCAATGTGCTTCAATAGTGTAGCTGATTAGCAGCAGAACATGCCAACAAATATAAATGTGTATTTACTTTCGTAATGGACTCAGAAAGAGAAGCTGCTTCCTCAACGTGTTTTCTGTTAATTTTACAGTCTTCAAGTTCATTCATAACCTATTAATTAGGCTCATGTGGACCGATAGCAGAATCAAAAACAAAATGTTCTGACATTTGTGCCATACAAGGACCAGGCACTGATCATCTGCTACATAGAGATGGCCTGATATCTAGTTTGAGTTTTAATTGCACGACCTACCACATGCTGAGACTGCCATGAAGAAAGTGCACTTGGTACTGAGGAAATTGTGTTTCTGAAAGATCACTGGAAACTACCATGGAAATTATTGTTTAATCCACAAATGGCTCTTGGGCATGGACTCCGAAACAGAAAGGGGAGAGGTGGGGGTGGGGTAGGTGGGAGCAGGCAAGAGAGATGGTGGATAAAGTGTTAATCCTGGCTGTGCTAGCTGGATCAATCTTCTTTCAAATGAAGAATTCACTGCAAGAGTATCCAGCGTGATCCATCCACAGACCTGAAAATCCTTCTCACAAAACCTTTCGATGGGAGATAAAGACTAACTTATTGCAAAAAATATATTGTTTGAGAGATGGAGCTTGTTGCCGAAGGCATACGATGGAATCTAATGCTATCATCTTCAGTTAGTATTTCTGAGGGTGACTGTGTAGATGAAGTACAGGAGCAGGCCATGAATAGATCTTTCAGAGAGCCCAGAGGTAATGGTGAAGGTGTAAAACAGAAAACATTTCTGGAGATTCACTGCCTCTGAGTGGATAGGTAAGAGAAGAATCATACAAGAGTAGTTTCACTCAGCTAAACAATCGAGGAGAAACATTGAAGAAGGATGGGGTGGTCAACCATATTAAAGATGTCGAAATTTCAGAAATGATGGGAAGGTATTGCATATTTCTGCACTGGATACAATAATCTCTGGCTGTTAATGTCTATGATACATAGGGATCACTGTCAAAAAGTGTGAGAAACTGGGATATGCCTGCTGTTAATGGAAAAGTTCTGCCTTTAGCATTGTATGAATTAGTCGTAGTACACTCTAAAATCCTCTTGGTCCTTACTGTTATCCATGTTACTGGGTTCGGAGTGTGTCTCACTACATCAAATCTAAGTATAATTCAGTGATTTGATTTCAATCACTGATCAGCAAGTATCAAGTCCTTCAGTTCAATCTAAATCCTTTTTGTACATTAAGGATATAAATAAATATATAATGCAACTGGAAATTTATGTCTTTATTGTTTTGTTTTAAAGATCCTGAATTCAGAATGTTACAAAATCACTTAATCTGCCCAAGTCCCTCTGGAGACTGTGTGATCCATACCACTTGCTTTCCCACCTATTTTTGTGTCATCTGCAAACTTGGCTTTGGTACATTCACTTTCCTCATCCTCATCTAAGTCAATAATATATGAAGTAAATAATTGATCCCTATGCCACTTTATCCCAACTCTCTGTCTTCTATTAGATAGACAATCCTCTATCTATGCTAATATACTACCACAAACATAATGGGATCTTATTTTATTAAGTGGCCTAATATGTGGTAACTTATCAACTGCCTTCTGAAATTGACTCTCGTAAAGTTAAGGCTGTATCCACCTCTGCCTTAAAAATATTTAAAGACTGGTCAACGCCACTTTCTGGGGAAGAGTATTCCAATACTTCGTGTCCCTCTGAAAGAAAAATATCCTTCTCATCACAGTCTTATACCAAGTCCACTGATTTTTCCAGTCTCTCATACAGGGGTATTACTCTTTTAGTACTTAGCCTGTCTTTTATGTCTCAATAATACTACTTCTCATTCTTTTAAACTTCAATGAAAAGAAATCCAACCTGTCCAATCTTTCTTCATAAGGTAATCCCCCATCCCAGATGTCAGTCAAGTGAACCATCTTTGAACTGCCAGTAATGCATTTACATCCATTCTTAAATAAGGGGACAAAAACTGTATGTAGTACTCTAGATTTGGCTGCACCAATGCTCTACATGACCGCCACTAAGCAGCCATACTTTTATATTCCATTCCCCTTATGATAAATAGCAACATTCCATTTGCCTTCCTAATCACTTGCTGCCCCAACATTTTGTGATGCAACACACCAGAATATTTTTTAATTCATTCATGGGATGTGGGTATCACTGGCTGTGCCAGCATCTATTGTCCGTCCCAAGTTGCTCCAGGGAAGGTGGTAGTGAGCCGCTTTCTTGAACTGCTGCATTACACATGCTGTAGATAGGTGCATTTTGCTGTTTGTGAAGAAATTCCAACATTTTGATCCTGCGACACAGAAGGAGTGGTGATATATTTCCAAATCTGGATTGTGTGTGGTTTGGAGGGGAACTTGCAGGTGGTGGAATTCCCATGTATCTGCTGACATTTTCCTTCTAGGTGGTAGTGATTGTGGATTTGGAAGGTGCCTTCTAAGGAGCTTTAGTGAGTTTCTGCAGGATGTCTTATAGATGGTGCAAGCTCCCAATATTGAGCAGTGCAGCGAGTGAATGTTTAAAGGTGTGGTACCAGTAAAGCAGGCTACTTTGTACAGGATGGTGTCAAATTTATTGCTGGAGTTGCACTCATCACACTCCTGGCTTGTACCTTGTAGATAGTGGACAGGCAGCTAGGAAGTCAAGGGTGAGTTACTCACAGCTTCTGGCCTGTTTTGTGGTAACAATGTTTATGTGGCTAGTCCAGTTCAGCTTCTGGTCAATGGTAACCCCTAGCATGTTGGTAGAGGGGATTCATTGATGGTGATGGCATTTTGAAGGGTGATAGTTGGATTCTCTCTTGTTAGAGATGGTCATTGCTTGGCATTTGTGTGGTCCTGGTTGGATCAACCTTCTTCTAATGAAAAATACTGCAAACAGCTGCCAGCATGATCCAAAAACAGGTGTGAAAATCTATCTCGCAAATGCTTTGAATGGAAGTAAACAATTAAGAAATAACTGTGATATTGCCTTTGTTTTCCATTATATCTTCGCAAGGATGTTTTTTTTTTACAAATTACATCCTAACTTTTATTTCTTTTAAACAATTATTTGGTAGACAAGTTCAATAAATGTCTTTTATTTTCACTTAAGGTGTTGGAGAAAATCTTACTGACCCATCCGTTATTAAAGCTGAAGAAAAAGCGTAAGTTAAATTTTTATGTGCTTACAAATCTTTGACTCAACAATCTTCTAATGTTGTCTTAGAAAATTTTACAATCTTAGTGAAGGGCCCCCATATGAAAAGGTTGAGCTTTCTCAAATAATTAAATTGGGCTAAATTATTTCAAAACACGTGATACAGCTAGGAGAAAAAACTGCTGTTTTACCAGTCAAGGGACATACTGACATGTTGAAGAGAACATGACTGTTTTGGGAAGCCTATCCAAGTCACTACCTTCCCTACCAAACCCCCTCAATCACTAATGCCGTACCAGCAACTATAAAGGACCAAATGGTTGCCAAAGCATTGACTGTGGTTCAGAGTGACACCTAGAAGTGGTCAGCTAACAAATGCCTATCACTGAGAACATTAGAAGGCACACAAGATTTGTTGCAGAGCACAGGCCCTTTGCTTTTAAATTCTGAAATGTTGGAAGAAGGTTTGAAATGTATGGCTTGTCTAGCAGACCGTTGGAGAATCAATAAATCTAGTTGAAAACATGTTTGGTAAATATGAATAACATCTCCTTGATTATTTTCCACACATGTAATTTTCTTTAACTAGATCCCCACCCATTTATTTGATACTTAGATCACGAGATATGGTGTTTGGACCAGCTAACCTAGGAGAAGAAGCAATCAGAAATTTTACAGTAAAACATCACTGTAACACTTGCTGCAGAAAACTAAAACTACCAGGTGAGTTCATCGTAAGGCATTTCACAGTGAAGGCTTGTATCTAGCTTGGGTGGAATTAGGTAAAGAAGACTGAGATTGGGTTGGAGATGCAGGGAGGGCTATGAATGCTTTCCTTGTTGTTTGATTGGGTTAATTTGATTTGATTTATTATTGTCATATGTACTGAGATACAGTGAAAAGTATTCTTTTGCATGCTAACCAGACAAATCATACCCGACATAAGTACGTCAGGGTAATTTGAGCAGCACAGTGGCTCAATGGTTAGCACTGCTGCCTCACAGAGCCAGGGACCTGGGTTTGATTTCACCATCGGGTGACTGTCTGTGTGGAGTTTGCACATTCTCCCCATGTCTGCGTGGGCTTTCTCCGGGTGCTCCAGTTTCCCCCCACAGTCAAAAGATGTGTAGGGTTAGGTGGATTGGTCGTGCTAAATTGCCAATAGTGTCCATGGATGTGCAGGCTAGGTAGATCATCCATGGGAAGTGCAGGGTTGCAGGTATAGGCTAGGGAGGGTGGGTCTACTTGGGATGGTCTTGAGAGGGTTAGTGTGGACCTGATGGGCTGATTGACCTGCTTCCACACTGTAGGGACTCTGTGATTCTAATAGAACAGAATGCAGAATATAGTGTTGAACGTGCAGAGAAAGATCTACTCTAATGTGAGAGGTCTGTTCATAAGTCTGATAACAGCAGGGAAGAAGCTGTTCTTAAATCTTCCTGATTTAGAGTGGAACAGAGGAAGAATATATAGTTCACAGTGTCACCTTCTGATGGGTGAGCAATGAGATTGTGAATCCATTTCTTTTTCCAGGAATTTTTTTTCTAGGGCAATTTTTCAAAAGCGTAGTAGGCTGGACAATGTTGTTGATGTATCTATGGAAAAAACCCAGAAAATATTCAGCAATTTATTTATTCTGTAACTGCACAAAGTGAGCAGAGTAATTCATCTATTTTGCATTTTTAGCCCTTCATAAGACAATTTCTGTTTACCTGCAGATCTGAGAAGAAACTTTTATAACCCAAGCAAAGTAAACCCTCCTCTTGAAGATGATCCTTCAACTGCTAAGACAAGCCTGTGACTTTTGGCTTTCTATTTTTGCACAAATAAGAAACCTGGAACCTATTTAATGGAAATGAAGAATGCCTAATCACATGGAATGTTTAACTTTCTTAGTATTGCAGAAGTGCAAACTGTTACTCAATACCTGATCAGCAATTGTGAAACTGCTGTTTTTAGTACCATGCCAATAATGTTTATACTTAAATTTTGGATTTGTTTCATATTCAAACACACCTGCAAGCATTGCCACTCAAAAAAGTCCACCACAGCACCTATTTTGTCAATTGCTCAAACAGTCAACTGTTCAGATTGATTTTGAGTGAAATGTAAACCTTGGTGATAGTCTCAACAGGAAAACTGACAGGCCTCTCTGTTACAGACTGAGTTAACATGGTTTAATGTTTCCTCATTAGTTCCCTTGAACATATTGAAAAACAGCTGGAAACCCCTTAGACATTGATTCCTAGACAAAATGGGAATTTGACGTTAAAAGTAGGACCTTGAGTAGTGTTGTAGAACAGAGAGACCTAGATGTTCAGGTATATAATTCTTTGAAGTTTGTGTCACAGGTAGACAGGGTGGTTAAGATGTTTAGCACACTTGCCCTAATTGCTCAGACCTTTAAGTATAGGAGTTGGGACATTATGTTGAGATTGTACAGGATGTTGGTGAGGCCTGTTCTGGAGTACTGAGTCCTGTTCTGGTTGCCCTGTTATTGGAAGGATATTATTAAATTGGAGAGTGTTCAGAAAAGATTTACCACAGAAGATGTTGATGGGATTGGAGGGTGTGAGTTATAAGGAAAGGCTTATAGGCTGGAACTTTTTCACTGGAACGTGGGAGGTTGAAGGGTCACCTTATAGAAGGTTCTAAAATCGTGAGGCGTATAGATAAGGTGAATGGCAGATCTCTTTTCTCTAGTGTGGGGAATTTCAAGACTAGAGGGCATTTTTTAAAGTGAGAGGAGAAAGATTTAAAAAAGATATGAGGGGCAACTTTTTTACGTAGAGAGTGATTTATGTGTGGAATGAACTTCCAGAGGAAGTGGTGGATGTGGGTACAGTTACAACATTTAAAAGACATTTGGAGAAATACATGAATAAGAAATGTTTGGAGGGACATGGGTCAAGTGCAGGCAGATGGGACTATTTAGTTTGGGATTATGGTCGGCATGGACTGCTTGGACAGAAAGGTCAGTTCCCATTCTGTATGACTCTATAATCAGCTAATAAGACACTGCATGTAAACATGTAAGAAACATGTAAAAGCACATAAGAAGTAGAAATAAGAGAAGGCCACTCAACCTCATGTCTCTACTCTGCAAATTTTGAATATTTTGATCATCACTTGCAAGTGTGTGCTTTCTTGAATTTTTAATCCTCATTCTAATTCTGAATATTGTGACACTTTGACATTACCATCAATTTCTGGCTTATGTTCATGTATACTCAGTTATGATTCATATTCTGAAACAAATTGTTTTCCTTTGCCACAATATAATGCCCAGAAAATTACTTCCTGGGAGAAAGAAATTCTGCTGCAGCTGTTTTGTTTCCTTTATAAAAAAAAGACTTTATTTAATATAGCTTCATATTTAAGAAGAAAAATATAATAGCAGCCTGAATTTCAGCCAAGAAGTTCTTGGTTCTTTACTGTTGATTTACCTTCCCATCAGATATCAGCAACTTATTGCAGTTTCCTGTATGTGCTCAATACTGCCTCCAGAGCTGGCTATACTGACAGCCTATTATCAATTAGTGTCCCATGAGACAACTCTAGACCATCAGCAAAGTGAACAAAGTGACAACAGTATGATCAAGCAACCATTACTCAGCAAAAGTCTGTTCACTGATGCTCAGTTTGGATTTGGCTAGGACTGTTCGCTCCAAACCTTAGTACGCCTTAGTCTAGGTGGATTAAGTGTTCAATTACAGATGTGCAGTGAGATCAAGGCATAATTTGACTGTGTATACAATCAAGGAATCCTAGAAAAATTGAAGTAATTGAGTTTGGGCTAAAACTCTCCACTGGTTTGAATCCTACTTAGCACAGTAGAAGATGGTTGTGGTTGTTGGACATAAATCATTTCATAGAGTCATATTTAAAAAAAAACATACATATATAGCATCTATCTGTTCAATGATGCTATTATACACCTCTGGGACAGGTGGGATTTGAACCTGTGTCTCCTAGCTCAGAGGTAGGGCAAGTACCATTGCACCATAATAGCCCCCTTCTTCCTAGCTATATGAAGAGCAAATGGGTGGTAAGAGGAGGAGTGCGTTCAATTAAGGACTATTTACACATGGAGGTGGGGACAAAAATTAATATTTTGCACCTATCTTTACCAAAATAGATGATGCTGCACAGGTCATGGTGAATAAGGAGGTATTTCAAATACTTGAATTGCTTAACATTGGTAAGGAGAAAGCTGTGGAGAAGCTTTCTCTCAAAGCTGATTAAGGCACCAGGACCAAATGTTGTACATCTGAGGATACTGAAGGAAATGAATGGTAACTATGGAGGCACTGTCGCTAATTTTCCAATCTTCCTTGGACAGGGGATAGTGCCAGAGGTCTAAGGAGTTGCAACTGATGTTGAAGGTAACAGAAAGGCTTCATGAGGGTAATGCTGTTGAAGTCATAGATATGGGCTTCCAAAATGTATTTGATAAGGTGCTAAAGAAATGACTTATGAGAAAAGCTAGAGCTCAGGGAATGAAAGTGACAGTATCAACACACCTATGAAATTGACTGAGTGACGGGAAACAAACAGTAGTGGTGAAAAATTGTTTACTTGAAATGAAGGAATACATGTAATGGATCTCCCCAAGTTCTGTGTTGGGAACTTAGCTTTTCTTGATATATATTAATTATCTAGACCTAGATGTACAGGACACCATTTTAAATAAAGATGACATCAAACTTGGAATTATTGGAACTATGATGTTGATCTTCAGAACAGCATAGACAATTTGTTTGAATAGGTGGACAAAAAGAAGGATTATACTTAATGCAGAGAAGTGTGAAATGATTCATTTTGGTAGGAAGAATGTGGACAGTTAATAGAAAATAAAGGTTACAATTCTAAAAGGGATGCAGGAGCAGAGAAACCTGAATATACATATTGAAGGTGGACTGGTTGAGAGAATGGATAAGAAAGTATGTTACTTCTCAGGTTTTCTTAAAAGGGATATTAGACATAAAAGGAATGAAAATGTGTTAAATTTGTACAAAATGCTGGTTCTGCCCCCATTGCAGTACTATATTTAGTTCTGGGCACCACGATTTAGGAAGGATTTGAAGGGATTAGAGATGGTGAAGAAAAGATTCACAAGAATGCTTCCAGATTTGAGGAACTTGTGTAGATAGAGCATTTTGGAGAAAACAGTATATGAAGAGGAGATTTGATAAATATATTCAACATCATGAAGGGTATGGACAGAGCAGATGATGAGACACTTCCTGTAGAATGATCAAGAACTAGAAGATACAAATTTAAGGGTAATTGGCAAAAGAAGAAATAACAACATAAGAGTGGTTGGGAGGTTAAGATCTGGAATTTGCAGTCTGAACTCCAAACCAGTTTTGGAGATTGGTTCAGTTAAGTCCTTCTAAAGGAAATTAGATCATGTTCTGAAAAACAAACATTTGCAGGGTTATGGAGAAATCCAAGAGCATGGTTTGAGGTGATGTGCTCCTTCAGATAGCTGTGTATGACGTGAAAAGTAAAAAGCTAGGAATGGCAGGAAAACAAAGAAATCTAGCAGTCCAGAAGCATAAAGATGACCAAAATTTAAAAGACGGGCAGAAACAAAGTTATAAAGGAAAATAGAATGTGTATTTATATAACCTGAGGGGAGGACATTTTGTCATAGCTGGTTAAACCATATCTGGTATGCTGCATGTATGTTTGGGCAGCACACTTTAGAAAGATGGAACGGGCTTGGCAATTCAGACAGGGATCACGAGGTCAGGAAAACATTTTTCACTTCACCTTAAATTCAGAGTCAGATCCCTTAGGAAAATATTTAGGAAACAACCCCACATGAAAAGCATAGCACATGTGTGAAAGTTGTCCACCAACATCATCCTCACCCAACCCAGCCGCCTGTTAGGCAGTAATTAAAGATTGATGTCTAATTTTAAATCTGAGGCTGATAGATTTTTGTTTTTAAAATAAATACGGTGGAATTGTATAGGGGTCTAAGCGAAGTGGGTTAGGGTGAAATGTGTGACAGAATTGGACAAAAGTGCAGCGAACCCATCTCAACATTGTTTTGCAGGGGGGATGGTGAGATTCTCAGAAGGCACCAGTGAGTTGACAACTGATGGTGATTATTGCTTCATAAATGCCTTTACAACAATTTACACAGTAATATTCAGCCTTTCACCTAAGCAAATTCATCAACAAGTTTGATGTCTGGAAAACCCAGCAAGGAAACCAGAGTGAGCACCTAACAGAAGATCATGCTCCATGGGCACTGGCCATGTGCATCCCAACATCCAGAGACTTTGGCTTCCAACATTGATTAGTCCACAGCTAGAATACTGTGTGTAGTTCTGACTGCCACACCATCAGAAGGATGTGATTGCACTGGAGAAAGTGCAGAGGAGGTTCATCGGGATGTTGCCTGAGATGGAAAGTCTTAGTTATGAGGAGAGACTGGATAGGCTGGGTTTGTTTTCATTGGAGCAGAGAAGGCTGAGGGGGGATCTGATTGAAGTATAGAAAATTGTGAGAGGTACAGACAAAGTATATTGTGAGGATCTCTTCTTCATGACAGACATGTGATTAGAAGGCATAATTTTAAGATGAGGAATAAGTGGTTGGGAAGAGATTTTTACTCAGAGGGTGGTAGATATATGGAATGTGCTGCCTGAGAGGGTAGTGGTGGCAGATACTTGCACAGTATTTAAGAAGCATCTGGTTGAATGCTTAAAATGACAGGGCATAGTAGGCTATGGCACAATTACAGCTAAATGGGATTAGTGTGGTTTGGTGTCTGTTGACCGGTATAGACATAGCAGGCCGAAGGGCCTGTTTCTATGCTGTATGACTCTCTGATAGGAACTCAAATAACATGTCTTCATTTCATTTTCAGGACACCTCCATATGTCAATGCTGCTCCAGTAACTATCACCATAATGCTGCAGCAAAGACATTACACTCAAGGGATACTACCTAAATGCTCACAGCATCCCTACCTTGCATTGCTTTGCCTGGCCTTTTTGCACTTTGCCTCCTCTGCCAGATGCCAGGTTCATATTTTTTGTCTTGCCTAACCATTTAGTACAGACTCAAAGCCAGGAAAGTTGTAATGCTTGTCAGCAGACATCAGTCAAGTTAAGGAGGATGACTTTCATTCAAGTGTTCCTGGCACAGTAAGTCTGTGATACCAATTTAGGGCGAGCTTGGAGATGGTCAAAGCAGGATCCTCCCTATTCAATGTGTGAGGAGCTGAATGTTATGCAGTCCATCATCTGTTTTGACTCTTTGCACCCTTTTGGGGGAATGTTTTCTTCTTGGAATGAGAAAGAGGCAGCTATAACATGAGATGGAGGTGGGTGGTACAGCTGTTACTGTTGGAACGGGTGGG